GAAGAAGAAGAAGAAGAAGAAGAAGAAGAAGAAGAAGAAGAAGAAGATAGCAGGAGGAGAAGAATGAAGGGGGGGAAATCGGAGGGGGAGATGAACCATGAGAGATAATGGACTCTGAAAAACAAACTGAGGGTTCTAGAGGGGAGGGGCGTGGGAGGATGGGTTAGCCTGGTGATGGGTATTAAAAAGGGCACATTCTGCATGGAGTACTGGGTGTTATACGCAAATAATGAATCATGGAACACTACATCAAAAACTAATGATGTAATGTATGGTGATTAACATAACATAATAAAAAAAAGGAAAGGGTGGGTTTCTCCCTTTAATATATTTTTAAGTAAAGCATAGCAATGGTAAAAGCATTCAAACAATAAAAACACTACATAGGAAAAAGTAAATCTCTCTTCTATGGGTAATCCCCTGTCTCCAAATTCTCTCAGGCAACTGCCATTAGCAATTTTTGGCATATCCTTCCACAGATGGTCTATACTTACATAAGCATATATTTATATTAGAAGGAGTTATCTTAGAACAAAAGACTGCTGAAAAGAATCAAATTTGATGATCTGTAACATTGTTAAAAGAACAATGTTTTACCATACTTTTGCTTACAAGTGACTAGCAAAGAAATGATTTTGACCTAAAAAGAATATGTTCCATGCTTGATTTTCATAGAAAAAAGTTTCCTTCCTCTTACTTTATACTTTACGACAACCCAAATGGCCGTTGTCAGAAATGATGTTCAGCTTTAAAACGTGATTCTTTGAAATCATAGAAGAGCTCGTGAAGTAGGGCAAAGTCATTAGAGGTGGACAAAATTCAGAGGATATTAACAATATACACTCCATGAGAACAAAAGACTTCTACTTACATTTTATCTAAATATTTGTTCACATCTTCATCTTTTTCATAATCTTTACACAGTTGGGCAACCAGAGCTCCATAGGTGAGGACAAAGAGATCTTTGTTCTAGAGAAAAAAGGGTTGGTTACTTTATAGGCAAAGCTATGGACAATGTGCTACTCTATTTTTTTTTTTTTAACAAAATGTTCCAACTGCAAGCAGCCTTTGAGATCATCTGCTCATTTTTTCCCACCCTCCTAATTATTGCAACAATTTTGACTTCTGAGAACAAGTTGTACCTATATTTGGATCCATCGCTGATAAGAAAAGAGCTGTGATATGGAATAAATTTCTTTTTTTTATTTTTTTCATGTTTTATTTATTTATTCATGAGAGTCAGAGAGAGAGAGAGAGAGGCAGAGGCAGAGGGAGAGGGAGAAGCAGGCTCCCCGCAGAAGCAGGGAGCCCGATGCGGGACTCGATCCCAGGACTTTGGGATCATGACCTGAGCAGAAGGCAGACGCTTAACCATCTGAGCCACCCAGGTGCCCTGGAATAAATTTCTTAACAGGAGAAATCTTTCTATGCGTTTGCTAATAGTATATAGCTTGCAAGGTATTATCATCGGGCAAGGTTTTTAAAAAAATAATTGCTAATATAAATTTCTATTGTTCTAGAATGGCCTTTGGTATCGGCCGACCATGTTTTCAGCTGGAAGGAATAATTGGTTGAGACTTCTCTTGAGTTTGCACAATCCCTAATGGGTTCCAGATCTGCCAAGGAGACCATCAGGATGAACTCAACTGTAGCAGCAAATTTGTGAGATGTTGTTTTATTTATACTTAGTGAAAAAAGGAGAATTTGTACTTTCCTTATAGATGTCCAAAATATGGCCTATTTTCAGAGTGACCTGAATATGAAAACTACAACTAAGAATAGTTTAGGTTTGGTTTAGCACAGAGAGGTTGAAAGTATGGGAAACAGAACACACAAATCTCAATCAATCCATTTGACAAAGTCTCTCCGTTTTGCTTCTGCTATTGAATACTATCTAAGAAAAGGACGGAGATACTAGGGATAATTTATTCCAGTGCTCTTAGCCCTACAGAGGAGGGAATAAGGCCTAGAAGGAGTGAGTGACTTGTCCAACGAGCCATCAATTGGCAGAGCCAGGGTGGAGCCTGAGACTGCAAGCTCCACTCTGACATAGCAATTACCTCTGAGGTGCACAAAAGAAGGCCTGTTTGAAGTAGAGGTGGGTGGGACAGGGAGGCATGAAAGGGAACCACGGTGGAAAATAATCTTACTTCTTGCATAATCTTGTATTTACATGAAAAGCTAAATGTGGATTCCAGGTTAGAAGAGGTGTTTTTACCTCTAGACCCAGGTATCTTGGGTAACCTAACATGGAGGGTAACATTTGACCTGATAAGATGTATTCTTTTTTTTTTTTTTAAGGCAAAGGCAGAAATGGTTAAACAAATCAATAAAATTATTCAACAAAGTAACTTCTGTAAATGTTATATAATTTTGATCAAAATACTTCCTAAATTTACCCACTACCACCAGAGTCCACCTCCCTATACATGGGTTTATACTATGACAAATATGTTTAAGTAGATAGAATATTTGTTATAACTAAATAAGTTTCAAATGGACAGAATCTAAATAATTATAGTTACAAAATTATGTCCATATGTGGACATCATTTATGTTAGAACTATAAATCAAAATGTCGTAAGTGGGTGTAGAATATACATTAGATACACTAATTGACATTACGTTAAGGACTAATCTCTATGAGTCAGGTATAGAAAATAAAAAGTATGTTAATATTTCTACTAGGAAACAAGAAATATAAAGCAAGTGATTTTAACAAAAATATTGTTAAATCACTAAAGGGTCACAATATATTCAATTTTAATTCTGTTCTCATTTAACTCAAAAACCTAAGCATACACTCTAAGAAATGTCTGTAAATTACACATGGAATATCTTCTCAACATATACGGAGCCACCACAGAAGATACATTACTGCTATGTGGAAAGAGCACAACATAAAAATAAGCAACGGTTGAAGGAGAGAGACAGAAAGAATAATGTAGTTATTGCCACTAGCAACAAAAGCAGAAGAATTTGAAAAAGAGATAAAAGGAAATGAAATTATACCCTACTTGCATGCCGGAGCCTCAGCATTGTGCCCATTTATAATATGACCAAACTGAAATCATGGCATTTTCTTCTTCCTCTTTCTCTCTTATTCTGATGGGTGAATACTACCTACAGTTTACTTGTAGCTAAGTTTCAAGTTCAATACCCACGAGGGCCAGTTTTTCCATTTTGTGTCCTCGTAAAAGGCTGTACCTTGAGCAAAGTGTCCAGTAGGTCTCAAATCCATACTACCGGTCACAGAAAATGTCAACATAAAATTTATCTTCACAATTTATAAAACAATAAAAACAGTCATTTTCACATATGAAAAACAGAACACCATTAGTTATTTGAGACTTTGGATACATTAGGATAAAAGTGTGTTTTAACTGACACGTAAATGAAGTGATTTCGGTGCACTCTGCAATATCTTTTAGTATTTCAGAACCCCACATAAAATAAATCAAGATCCCAGAATGCCAGAGGGGCCATCTGGAGGCATTCCCAACTGGGGTGTGACAGTTAATCATACAATTCCAAGTTCCCATAACTGAAATTACTTAATTTTCTTCAGTGCTCATCAATTTCCTGAAATAATTAAAAGAGCTTTAAACATAACAGTAAATTTTCACATCTGTAACTTCTAATGAGAGGATTAAAGAAGAAGCTTTATCCAAAGCTAATATACAAGTAATTAAGTTTTGAAAATAACTCTGAGCTTGGAGTATATAGAAAGGATAATAGCACATACCAAATTATAATAATAGATACTTACATTTAAGACAAGGAAATACATCTCTAAAGGCAATCTTTTAATGCTGAGTTTTTTGCTGATCTGTTCCCATTAGTTTAACACATAATCACTATTTTATATATATTTTATATACATTTCATTTCCTAGTTCATGAAGTATGAAATACAAAGAATTGCTTTATCTTTCCATATTTTCTGTCAGGCACAAGAGATAAATTTGACACGTTATAGATCTAATTAGTCACAAAAGAAAACCCTAAAACCTGTATAAAGACTCAATTATTCTGTTACAGTGTGTTAGAAATCATTGTACTATTCCCAGAGGTGTGATTTATGATCCACTCCACTAAACACTTCCTTGCTCCCCTGAAAAAAAGTCCACGGATAGTGTCACCTTTTGAAATACACCAGAAATCACTCAAGAAAACATTTTCTTTGAAGTAGAAGAAAGGCCTCTTTGAGAATATGTTTATAAAGAGATCTTACGATTTTATGGTAGTCTGGTTTTCTGTGTGCAGGGCGAGGCATGGTGCTTGAGAGATGAAGAATGTGATCTTCGATTTCTTTTCGTCGGCTTTTATTTTAGAGGTGTATCCATCTCTGTCGTCCTGTTTTTGCACGTTCCTTCTTCCTTGGAGACAAGAGCGCCACTTCTGCACTCTCTTGCTGCTCTTTGCTGAGCTGAAGAGGAAAACAATCATGAGCAGGACGGGCTTACGAGCACGTACCTTGCCACCGATCAAATACTGCTTCACTTGTGAGTACAAGTTGTAACCTAGAGGCATAAAAGCTGATAGTGGGAAGTCCGATCAGAAGCACCAGCTACTGAAAATTCTTCAGCCCAAGGGAGTATAAGAGTGGTGTTTTGCTCTCATGCCAAGGCATTGTTCTAAAAATCACAAACAGAAACCTTCACAATCCAAGATAGATCTAAATGTTAGCATTATTCGGTCTTTGTATTGATTGTTGTGTGAATTTGAGACAGGATCAGCAATCTGTAGGTACTACATCTTGGGTTCAAACCTAATCAACAACTCTAATGGGTATCACAGACCCCCATCTTGCATGATTACAGAATTCAAATATATCTGATACTTTTGTTTTCATAAGCAGCAGTTTTAAGGAATGATGGATTTGAGGTGTTGGTATTTTTTCCATAAAACTGTTGCTCAAAATGGGTGTTCTACAGTTTAATAATGTATAATGATTCTGGCAGAGAAAGCAAGCCCTTAGCTTTCTTTTGATAGTCCCTGAGATGTTAGCTATTGAAACCTCTCTTTATTTATGTAGAAGTACAGATCTTTAAGGTTAACACGAGAAACTCCCCCATCTTGACAACTTGCAGGGTGTGGAGGATCAAAACTCTTCCAGAAATAGAAGCCTAAGACTCAATTTAAGAAAGTCATTTCCTACTTCTTACCATCTGAGTCAATTAGCTCTGTGTGTTCTAGAAAATTCTTGCTATAAAGTGACAGACTACTCACTACTTTGAAAGAGTGTGGTGTAGTTGAAAGAGCCTAGGAGAATTTGGAAGTCTCGGGCTGAGCTGCAGTTCTACCATTTACTGGCTGTGTGACTTTGGACAAGCCATTTTATTGCTCTATGGCTCAGTTTCCACATTTGCAAACTGGCAATAATAATACCCACCTCACAGAATAATTGTGAGTATCAAAGAAATAATGTGTGCTATAAAACACGTTATAATGCACTATAGAAACACCAATTACTGTAGATTTTTCTCATAGATGAGTATATCGAATGGGGTTCTACAATATTAGGGTATTCCTATTAGTGCCTGTGTTCCATGACTCTATTCCCAGCAAAAGTCAGTTTGGCTGGGGGGTGGTATGTGGGGGGGGGCTGCTTTTCACTGGTGGATTAACAACACCTTATATTTCCGTAAAGTTTACAATTTACAGTATGGTTTTCACTTTATCTCATTTTAATTCAACTACCATCTGTGAAATAGTACTGTAATCATTACCATTTTCTAGGATGAGAATCTAAAAGTCACGTTAAGAAATTTGTTCAAAGTTGCTGGATAGTCGGCAACAAAGAGGGATTTTGGCTCAAGTTGCTGACTCCAAATCAAACATTTTTTTCTATTGTACACAATCCATGTTAGAGCAAAATATTTCAGAGTTAGACTCCCAATAGCTACTAAGGCATGGTGAGAGTCCGTTGCTGAGCCTAGTGTGGGGGTGATGTTGGGTTCTGAGAAAAACAGTGAAAAGGCCTGTGTGCTTGGCGGGTGGGGAGTGGTGATACTGGAATCAATTTCACTAAACCGCAACGGCTGTGCTATGGAGACATCAGGGCCACCATGAGGATTCAGGACATCACAGGTACCTTAGGAGGCAGCTCCTCTGCTGGGCTGACAGCCTCCCCCACTCTCCTGCCCCTTCGTCCAGGAGCACGGGGCTTAAGGAAGGAATCCCTGCGTGGCGTCCCCTCTCAGGAGCACAACCTGCACAGACGCAGCTGCTGCCAGGGCGCTGGGACACCGGCTTGCTGATGTTCAGACTGTGAAACCCATCAGCCTTCAGCAGCTCTTGGGATCCAAGGAAGCCTGCTGTGCCCCAGGCTCTTTCTTTTCTCCACTTTCTTCACCTAAATAGAAGAAAGTACAGAGGGAGGGTATGTTTCAAACAGAGAGCTGATAGAGAATATCTGTTCTGGCAGCAAACTAGGAAGAGGAATCATTGCAAAATAATGCAGAGAATTTCTTGCTCTTTTATTAAGGGCTCTTTTGGTAGCCTAGGCCAGATTTTGGAGCTGGGGTTGGGAGAATGATGCAATCCTCAGTGTCATCATAGTGCACTGCAAAGCAACCAGTGCAAGGAAATGATGAACTGGGTCACTCCCTGAGAGTGGTCTCCTGGGAGGTACCTGGGCAGCTGGGTAGAGACCAGGGAGGTGCTAACAGAGGGCAGCACCGATTCGTCAGCGTGTTATCATCATCTGAGATCCCCCACGAACTATCAGGCATGGCCATCACATCTGCATCGGGAGCTTCTTATCTTTTTGCAACTTCTTTTGCTATTTAAGGCTGCTTTTCGTGTTTATTTTAACCAAACTTCTTTATGTAAAATGAGTGATGATATACTCAGCACCCCGCCCCCCAGAACTGCTCTAGCTGTCAGATCTGATCTCCCTGTCGGTGTGTCAGCACGTCCTCAGTGAATGAGCTGCTGGGTCTTCACTGATGAATAGACATTTTATATGTTGGAGAGACAGCTGACAGCAAGCTCTCTTTAGCATAAAGACCATTTGGTTACAAAGGCCCAAAGGAAATTGATCAGTCATAGTTGTAATCCTTCACAATCACGGACAAGTTACACACAGGTACCCCCAAGGAAGTCATTAGTACTTTTGACTGTGAACAACAATAAAAACTTAAGAATTTGTCAACAAACTCCCTTATGGCAGGACATTGATGCCTCAACAGTGATTTCTCATCACTGAATGCTCCATCCTTTCCTGCATTGTTCCCTGAAAGAGTGGACTACATTTTCCTTCTCTGCTTCCTCACTTCCCGTATGTTCCATGAAATGGACTTTTTTAAAATAGGAAATTACAAACATAAGGAGGATGTGGTTCTTAGTTCCAAGCTCTACTGAACGAGCTGCTAGATATACTTCAGGCTCTGTTGTAAGCAATGACACAGTACTAACAGAGTTGAAATAGCCAGCACCCTCCTGAATTCTACTCTACAGAGTAGAGTTCCTATTACTGCTACACAGAACTTGATATTTATCATTCCTATTCATGTTTTTAAATTCTACATATGTTGGTAACCACAAAGAATATGTAATATCATTTTGTTTCAAAACTTTACCTAATTTGTCATACTGTGCATATCCTACAGCTTGTGTTTTTCCTTCCCAGTTATTGGTTAGGATTTATCCATATCTACAGCTGTCGCTCTAGCTAGTTTATTTTCACAGCCTCTATAGCTGAGGTCAGCAGACTTCTTCTGTAAAGGGCCAGAGAGTAGATATTTTAAGTTTTATGGACATATGGACTCTGTCACACCCCCTCAACTCTGCTATTGTGGTGGGAAAGCAGCCATAGACAATTCAGGAAGAGGTGTGCCCATGTGCCAATAAAACTTTATTTGTAAACATGGAGATTTGAGTTTCATGTAATTTCACGTGTTATAAGATACTGAACAATTTTTTTCCCCAACTGTGTTAAGATGTAAAAATCATTCTTAGCTCACAAGCCATAGAAAACAGGCAGTGAGCCAGTTTAGTCTATGAGCCCTATATGGTCCACCCCTAGTCTATAGCATTCTCCTTCTGTGGTTTATTAATCTGTTTCTTTGTTATTGGACGTTACTAATGAAATGGAATGGAAATACTGTGATGGAATACTACATATACCTTAGATAAAGCTTGCTTGTTGTTCACATCCTTTAGATCTTAATGTTATCTTAATCAATTCTGATAAAGATATGGTTAAAGTCTCTGATTATAAGAAGTCTTCTTACACCTTGATCAGCTTTCGCTTTATGTATTTTAAAGTTATGCAGTCACAGACATACAAGTTGACAACTGTTGTATCTTCATAATGGATTGTTCCTTTTATTATGACGGAGTGTTCCAAATTAGCCCTTTCGACACTTTTTGCCTTTATTTCAGTTTTGCCTTATGTTATTTTATTATTCCCAGTTAAATATGTTCCAATACCTTTATTTTTCAAGCTTTGTGTGTGGTCTAGTTTTAGGTGTCCCTTGTAAGCAATATGACTCTGCTTTTTAATCACTCTGGAGGTAAGTTTACTCCTGCTTTGGTGCGGTGGTGAAATGTGTGTACCAGACCACCGGGTCCCTAATCCTGACTCTTCCATCATCTCTGCATGACCCTGTGCAATTTCCTCACTCTCTTCACGCCTCAGTTTTCTCATCTGTAAACAAGTTGAGGATAATATTAGTACCTCATCATAGTTCTTAGAACAGTGCCTGGCATGTTGTAAGCACACGGTAATTGTTAGGTATTTAAAATTGTGTGTGTGTGTGTGTGTGTGTGTGTGTGTGTGTGTGTGTGTGTGTGTGATTATTGGTGTGTTTGGTCTCATTTTTACCATTATTTTGTGTTTTCTTTTTACCATCATTTTCCCTTTGCTTACAATTTCTTTTCCGGTTAATATTCCCCTTTTCGTTCCTGCTTTTGAATGATCTATACACCAAATTTCAATTATTTAATAATCATACTTAAAATTTTACTGCTTTAATGAAATATGAATTGATTTACAGTTTGATGAGTTTGGGCTTGTGTATACATCCCCGAAGCCATCAAATTAATCAATATAATTAACATTTCCATTACCACTGTTTTAACTGTGTTATCTTAGATTCTTTGTCGAGTTGGCATCCATTAATTGCAGGACCATAATAACAGCCAAAGCAGTTTGTATCTCCCATGCGATCCAGAGCCCATACCCGGAACCACCTTCTTATCTGTCTCTCATACATCAAGCCAATGTTTCCCCTGCTCTAGATCAAGCCAGGACCATGTAGGTACTAGACCAGCAGTGACAACCCTTATGTCCCAAAGCCCACCAGAACTTTTTAAACTAGCCAATCCTAAGCTGTGTCCCCTGCCTTACTTTGCCTTTACCATGAAAATCCCAATAAAAGCCCTGGCATAGGGTCTCCCGTCTTCCTTTCTGCCTCCTGACCAAACCTGGTGCTTCCCCGCACGGTCTGGCATGCCCTCTTCTCTTGGTAAATGAAAGTAAGAAATCTCCTCTCAACGGCTTTGACATCTCCGTGTCATCACTCAGTCACCTCCATAAATTAAAATCCTATCGGTACAAAATGATACAACCCTTGAAAGTCTTCTCATGCCCCTTGGTAATCACTCTCTTATTTCTCCTCCTCCACTCCTTAGGCAAGCACTGGTTTATTTTCTGTCAGTATCAATTAATTTGTATCTTTTGGAATTTTAGATGGAGTCATACATCATGTGCTCCTTTGCTTAAATTCTTTAATTCAGTATATTCTTTTGAATTCATTCTTCTTATGGTATATATCAATAGTTTATTCCTTTTATCTTGCCAAGTAGTATTCATCATATGGATATACAACGATTTGTTGATCTACTCACCTGTTGATGGACAGTTGTATTGTTTCCGGTTTGTAGGTATTACAAAACTACTGTGAAAAAAAAAAACTACTGTGGATATTCAAGTACGAGTTTTCATGTGGACTTATGCTTTCATTTCTCTTGAGCGAGTAACTAGGAGGTAAATGACTGTATTATATAATGGGTACATAGTTAACTTTTAAAGAAACTGACAATTTTCCAAAGTGGTTATTCCATTTTATATTCCCACCATCAGTGTATAAGAGTTCCAGTTACTCTGGGAGCGCCTAGGTGGCTCAGCTGGTTAAGCATCTGACTCTTGATTTTGGCGCAGATCATGATCTCAGGGTGTTGAGATCAAGCCCCAAGTTGGGCTCCATGCTCAGCATGGAGTCTGCTTGAGATTTTCTCTCTCCTTCCTCCACCCCTCCCTGACACACTCTCTCTCTCTAAAATAAATAAAATCTTTTAAAAAAGATTTTATTTATTTATTTGGGAGAGAGAGAGCAACAGAGAGAACACAAGCAGGCAGGTGGGCAGACGGAGAGGGAGAAGCAGGCTCCATCCCAGGACTCTGAGATCATGACCTGAACCGAGGGCAGACACTTAACCGACTGAGCCACCCAGGTGCCCTAAAATAAATAAATCTTAAAAAAAAAAAAAAGAGAGAGAGGGAGAGTTCCAGTTACTCTGCAAGCCTCACCAATATTTGGTATGGTCAGTCTTCTTAATTTTAGCCATTTGAGCAGTGATAGCTTATTATAACCATGTATTACCTTAGTTCTATCCCTTAAAGTAAAAAAGTAATTCTACAGCTAATAAGTAAAGAAAATAACTTAAAAATATCATATTTGTATCATTATTATTTTTTGTCTTATGTCTTTCCTTAGAGTTCATTTTTCTCCTTATTGAAATATATCCTTTAATAATGCTCTTTATGAGACCCTGTGAGTGGTAAATTCCCCTAGCCTTTATGTATCTCTTTTTAAAATTAACATACATTATCTTTACTTTGTTCTGCCTTGAGTGATATTGTATCTGGTACTAAGCGTTCTGAAGATATTGCCTCTGGTCTCTAGTGTTGCTAATGAAAACTCTCTCCTCGGTCTAAGGTCATTCTTTTGTGGCTTATGGGTCTCTTCTTTCTGGTAGCTTTTAATAACATTTCTTCTTCATGTTTCACACTCTGCAGTTTTACTATGGTGTGTTTATATGTGGATTTATCTTTATTTACACTGCTCAGAACATCTAACACTCTTCTGATGTGAGAATTTTCTTTGATTCTGCCAAATTCTGAGTTACTTCTCTTCAAATATTGTTTCTCTGCCTATCCCTTCTTCTTTTTTTCCCCCTCTGGAACTCCTATTATGGAGTTGCTTAATCTGTCTTCTATTTCCTTGAATTGGTTTTTAAAATATTTTATACTGCAATACTTTATACTGTATTTTGGGTGAATTCCTCAGCATTATGTTTCAATTTACTAATTATGTACTTAACCATACCCAGTTGAGAGTTTGAAAAGAGAAATTTATATCTTATTCACTTTTTATTAGCCCAACCAAGCCTAGTCCAGTGCCTTTTATATAGAAGTCATATAATAAATATTTTCTGATTATAGAAAACACCTTACATATTTGATCATTTTCTTTTTATAGATATATAATTTTACCAATACCTAAGGATCACATTTTCATGTAACAAAAAGATAGCATATAAACAAATTCGTAACTTAACTTACAAAGCAACATGTTATTTTATCACATTCTGTCAATACAAGGGCATTTTTATGCAAAGTTGGAATGTTTTTGTTGTGATTTGGCTTTAGGGGGTACCCAAGTCTTGTTCTTCTTTTGGGGAAAGCTTTTGGGATCTTCTGGCAGAACTCTTAGTTTATGGATGTTCCAGACAGCCCTAAAGTTTGGATTGCTGTATTATTTCATAATTTCTGTTATGCCTTATGTCATAATTTTATGGTACCTAAATCCTGGTCTAGCACAGGGTTAAGAACGTTTTCCGTTTTGCTCCCAGGGCTCTATTTGTTGGTGTCATGTCACACAAAGCAGCATATGGAAAGATGACAGCAGTTTTGCTTTGCAAGCAGGCCATTCTCTTTTCAGTGGGAAGATGCGCGGCAGCTGTTTCTCCTGTCACCTGTACCAGATGAATCTCTCCTCTAGCTTCTTCCAACTGGAATCTGAAGTGCATTTATTAGCTCAGGATTCACAAAGTACACAAGGAAAGATGCTAGAATCCTTTAAACATATGAGGATGTTGGGTTGCTTGACCCAGCCAGTTAAACCAGTAAGGTCCCATAAAATGGTTACAGCTGGTGGAGTCTAATGATCAGAAAGGGCCATTTGTGTCCGAGCTTCCCAACGATGAGCCCGACTCTCAACAATATCATGTCTTCCCTGCAGAGAAGTGGAACATTTATCAATTCTTTAATTGCTGCTTCGACCATTGGTGGGCAACAGCTTTGCTCTTCTTTCACATTCAGATGTCCCTGTCAGGCTGGAAAAAATTTCTACTACGGTTCTGCTTTTCTAGTCATTCCAGCCTTGATCCTTCTGGTTGCCGGCTATGCTCTGAGAAGCCAGATGTGGACCATGACCAGTGAATACTGCTGCCGCTGTGGCCCTCCACAGAGGAGAATCAGCCCCCTGGAGCGCAAGCTCGCTTGTCTTCGGTTCTTCAGCATCACCAGGAGGGCACTCGTTGCCCCATTAACATGGCTGGCCGTAACCCTGCTGACAGGCACCTACTATGAATGTGCGGCAAGTGAATTCGCATCTGTGGACCATTACCCAGTGTTTCACAACATCAGCACCAGCAAATGGAAAGAGGTCCTAGCTGGGTTTCCATGTGGCAAATCGGTTCCATCCGACATGATCCTGGTAAGAGATGAAGTAGGTCTTCTGCACAGATACCAGTCACAAGTAAGTTCCTGATTTTTTTTTCTTGCTATGCTATCCCATCTTAATGGCAGCCATTGGAAACATTTCACATTCCTACTGCTTCTCATATTATCTGAATGTAGAACACAAACTTGATGTCATTCATCAGAGTGATTTCCACTGAGCGGCTATATAGATACGGTTAGGATGTTGGGCTTCGGAGTCAGCAGACCTGTGTTTGAATCTTGCTTTGCCATTTATTAACCTGCAAAACCTTGAGCAAGTTATAGAACTTATCCATGCTTCACTTTTCTCTGCCGTAAAACGGAGATATTAATGGGATCTACCACATAAGGTTGGGGTGAGTAATAAATGAGCTAATACAACTAAAGAGCTCAGCATCGTGTCCACAATCCATATTAAAAACAAATTTTAGATATTGTTATAAAAATTATTATTGCCACAGTGTATTACTTCATTCCATCTTGCATATTCTGAAATATTTCATTCTTTTTTATTAAAATTTTATCTAAAATTAGAGGAAGCTTAATTATGATTAAAGTAATTTCCAGGGATGGCTCTAAATTTAATATCCTTAGACAAGTTTATGTAAGGGGGTGAGATGAGGCAGGGAAAAGGCCTGTATCTACTGCACTTACAGGTTAAATTTAAGAAGTGTAAAAGTGCATTTTGTCAATACAGAAAGAGTCATTGACATTCATCACTTTCTCCGAGGGATTTGGGGTAAAAAGCACAGTTGCAAACCACTGAAATACAATAAAATACATTATTTTAAAAACTATTTATCGCACAGGCATGCACATTTTTTTGACCCATCACTTTTTAGCTATTAAATTTAGAAGTGCTAGTGCTCTTTTGTTGAAAAAAAAATTACTATCAACACACAGTATACTCAAGTGTTGCATACGGCCCGATTCAAGCAAAGTTAGAAATCCCATTAAGGTAGGCTCTGTCTCAACCTTTTACATTAGCCCTAAAGCTCAGGCAGGAGTTATGTGAAGATAGGTGAAAAATAATCAATGGGGCAATTTTAATTTTCAAAATGTTCTTGCTCAAAAAAAACCTAAGATGATACACACACTGGTAAGATTTTCTTAAAGTGAAAATAAAATGTCTTATTTAATGCGTATACAGACTTCTGTGAAAAGACAGTTTTATGGTTCAGAGTGCCATCAGCCAGTGGATGTTTTTGGATCAGCGACCACAAAACTAATATTTATTAAGATGTTTATCAGGGGCGCCTAGGTGGCTCTGTCGTTAAGCGTCTGCCTTTGGCTCAGGTCATGATCCCAGGGTTCTGGGATCGAGCCCCACATCAGGCTCCCTGCTCCGCGGGAAGCCTGCTTCTCTCTCTCCCACTCCCCCTGCTTGTGTTCCCTCTCTCACTGTGTCTCTCTCTGTCAAATAAATAAATAAAATCTTAAAAAAATTGTTTATCACTTACTGTATAAATATTTCACATTTAATTCTAATCCTTGCTCTTTAAGAGAAAGGTATAATCAACCCCATTTTACAGATGAGGAGAGCAAAGCTCAAAGAGTTTATGTAACTCTTATAAGTTCACAGAGGTAATAAATGGCTGATTGAGATATTCAAAAGTCACACTCTTTCCATTTCACCAGGCTGCCTTTCACAACCACCTTGAACTTCAATCTCATTTGAAGAATATACACTTTCTGTTTGATTTTTCTGAGTTGTCCACAAGATCATATTAAGTTCAAACCCTTTCTCCGCCCATACCTCATTCTAAAATAGCTTCCTGACATTTGTTTTACCCAATTTCAATCAACCTTCCACAGCCATGCCAAAATTATCTTTCTAAATGCAAATTGAATGATGAGCACCCTCCCCCCGCCATTCCCATATAAAGTTCTTTGATAATTTTCTACCAGCCCAATCCCAAATCCAAATTCTTCTCACGGCTTACGAGGTCCTTCAGTGTCCGGCTCCTGACCACTTTTCTCCATGACTCCTATGGCCCTGTGAGTACAAGCTTCTTGAGGTTCTCCCAAATCTTCATGCTCTTATTTTTCTTCTTCTCTTATCGGAACTCTCCTCAGTTTCTTGCATCTGGCGAGCTACTCTTTAATATTTAACTGAAGATCATCTCCTCTGGGAAGTACTCCCTGATACGCCTCTTTCTTAAGTGAGTTCGTTTCTCTCCCATTGTGCTTATTGATATAAAAAAACGATCACATTTTACCATATTTCTTGGCTTGCTATTTTGTTTCCCTCTTTAGGCTTAAAGACAGTGTTGAGTGAATGTATCTTAAATTATTCCCATCTAAGTTCCCATAACCAACCACCATGTATAGAACATGGCAGGAGGTCAAACTGGGACTCAGTAAATGATGGCTGATGAATTAATGGGCATCTCAGATGGCCTTTCCTCCACCGTGCTGGCCTCTCTTAAATTAAATTGCGGTGTCACTTTGTAGGTTTCAGCCTCCATTGAGTGCATCTGTCCTGTTGTGCTCACACTGGTAATTCCAGGCCTGCTGGTGAATCACAAGCTGTGGGAGAGACCTTCACTTCCCGGACTGTGGCTGCTGATGGCTGGCTTCCTTATATGTGTGGAAGTTGCCTCTCTCACTTTAAGTAATAATCACTAACTATTGAAAAAAGAGTAATTAAAAGAAGAAGAGTTCTAAGACTAGAAAACAACCATTTATGTCAGTCTTTCAAAGAGGGCACTAAATAATTGCAAGTAAAATATAGCTAATTTCCCTTTCAAAGCATATTTCAAAAATGAATCATAAAACTGGTAGGAAATAACTATTTGAGGGAGGAGGGAAATGAAAAGGAAAATAATAAGGTGCTTTCCATTTAGGGACATAAGGGTCTTCTTTGGTCACAAAAAATAAAAGGAAAGAGCAACTCGGGAAGAAATATCAATGAATACCTGTTAGCACATTATTAAGAAGGCATTTAAGAAGCTACCATTATTATCTATCATATCATCATTTTCATCACCATGATTATCAAATAGTTATTAAGCACCCAAAAGATGCTTGACCTGTACCTAAGGCTTGGGGAGGAAAGTTGATCTAAAACCAAAGAATATAGTTTAGGTACCCTACACAAGAGTAACCGGTGGGTTGTAGCATCCGCCACTTCAAGAACAGGACTCCGAATCCACTCCAAGTTAACTGGTTAATACCCTTTGTAGCCCCCAAACCAAACTGAAATGCTTGGGCTTATTCCCTCCAACATGCCTATATCCATATCAAGTGGTCAGCACCTTGCTATTATTTCCAAGACTAGAAAAACACATTTCTTTTTTTGAAAGACTTTATTTGACAGAGAGAGACACAGCGAGAGAGGGAACACAAGCAGAGGGAGTGGGAGAGGGAGAAGCAGGCTTCCGGCTGCACAGGAGGCCCGATGCGGGGCTTGATCCCAGGACCCTGGGATCATGACCTGAGCCGAAGGCAGACACTTAGCCAACTGAACCACCCAGTCTCCCCAGAAAAACGAATTTCTTACCCCCAGTTTACTTTTTTTTCCCACAGTTTACTTCTCAGTTTCATAGGAATCCCTCTTACTGTGTCTGTTCCTTTGATATTCACGATATTGACGTTTTCTGCTTTTCTTTTAAATAATTTTGTCAAGATGCTGGGCTGGATTGTGATCACCTTGGCAGCCATCGCTGCCCTGGTCTCCCGCTGCGTGGCGAGGTGCTGCTCTCCCCTCACCTCTCTGCAGCACTACTACTGGGCCAACCACCTCCACAACGAGAGGGAGCTCTTTGAACAAGCTGCCGAGCAGCACTCACGGCTCCTCATCATGCAGCGCATAAAGAAACTCTTTGGCTTCATTCCTGGAAAGGAAGATGTCAGACACATCCGTATTCCTTCGTGTCAGGACTGGAGAGATATTTCAGCACCCAGTCTTCTCTGCATGGGTGAGGACTTGCAAGGTCACTATAGCTTCCTTAGAGGCAGGGTGGATGAGACTAATGAGGAAAGCAAATTCGAAGGTATTGAATTAAAACCTTGCTTGTAGCACCTCTCACAGTTCAGGTTGCTTAACAGATACTTTATCTTTATGATGATGGAGTTTCAATGTAATCTCTTCATCTTTTTCTGTCTCTTCTGATATTTGTTTAAATAAGTCCATTCAAGATGCCATTTCCAAAAGCGGTTTATCTGATCATTGTGCCAATCTCTGTTTTTGAAATTTCCTTGGTGGTCAGGTAATGCCTATATTGGTTTAATTAAAACAATATGGATTTTGAAGTCATATCAGAATGGGAACCTTGCTTCCGTTACTCAGTTATCTGTGTGAAAACTAATATTTTTGAGCACCATCTTGTTATCTGCACATAATGGTTATTTCATAGAGCTGTTGTGAGGATTAAAGGTGATAATATAAGCAAAGTGCTCAGCACAGTGCCTTTCCTAAAATACGTGCCAACACACATTACTTTCTCCCTTTCTCTTTGTGTTCCATGTCTCCCATCACTATTCCCCCGTCTCTAATTCCTGGTTTTCTTTATTTCTACCTCTTTATAATATCCAGGAACTTTTCACTTGCTTCTGTCCCTTCTTTTGATCCTAAATATCTGAGCTTTTGGGAACTAGAATAAAAAGCCCTTTCTAAACTGGTAACATGTAAGGGAGAAGCCCATGCAAGGTCTTGAGTCATTCTGCCATAACCAGGGGATGATGCATTATTTTACCATCATTAGTATCATAAATGTTATTTGTAGCCCCTCCACCCTAGGAGCATTTTTATAGCCACAACATATAAAGTTCATTCTAGAAAGCTTCCCTTCTGTGCTCTACTACAGAGACACTGTGCCTTTTCATGATCAATTTGCACCCTTGCACTCAAAATCCACTGGGGGAACTGAGACTGACATCTGTATTTGTATACCCATTACGTAAAACTCCAAAAGGGGAGACCTGCCTGACTCTTCTCTGTGACTTTACACCTCTAATATTTGACAGTTCTCTAATTTATCCTGATTATTTCTGATAATGTAGTGTCTTTTGTGCCTGATGTCACATTCACTTAAGCAACTGGTTCATTGGCCAAAATCAGCAAAATGAGGGATTTTGCTTATTTTTTAAACCAAAACCATGGCTGCTTACTGGGTAATGGGCCAACTGCCAATTGTCATGCTGACCTTCAAGATTCACTTTCAAGGAGACCAGAGAACTTGAGTAACTAAAATGCAGTCAATTACTTACTAATCTTTTACACAATTGTGGAAGAAAGAGTCTATTCTGTGTGAAATTATGGGTTCCACAAATTTAATGGAAACAAATAGAAAATGAATTTGAAGATTAAAAAAAAAATCCGTAAGAGATGCATAGTGTAGTACTTTGCTACAACAGACCTGTCTCTCCCTCACCATTACTTAGTGGGTAGGTCAGTTAGTCTCTCTGAGACTCAACTGTTTCATCTATAAGATGTAGATAATGATACCTTACCTGTTGTAGGGCAAGGAACTGAGGCAAATGTATTCTTGAGGTTCCCTTTAAATCTGATAAGATTTTGATGTTCATGTTCAAATGTATACAGGTCCATATGTATACAATTTTCTGGAATAGTAGTAGGTCCAGGTTGTCTCCATTAGAAGGAAAAGATCACTGAGTTCAATTCTTCTTCTAAAGACATTTGCTGGCATTCCACTTTCAAAAGAATGTTAATGTACTGAACTTTTTTAAGTGGCCACGGAAAGCTATTCCATTTTGTCACCTGTATCCATACCCAAGACTGACATATTACAAGAGCGATCTTTAAAAAAAAACAGAAGTTGTGGAAGGTAACTAGGGTCCTCCTTTGGTTCTGATGTAAATGAGCTATGTAAATATGGAAGGTTATGTCCACTTTGTTCTCCACAGTCTCCTCCAGCACTAAAATTCTATCACTCTGTTTATCTGGGAATTTTTGAAACTCCTCTGTATTGGGACAGAATAGTGCTCACTTCGGCAGCACATATACTAAAATTGTATTGGGACAGAATAGTTAAATCAACACTTTACACCATGCTCAGAATTATTTTATTAGTTTTTGGGGATTATACAACAGTAAATACTCTCCATAAGATTTTCAGTTAACAGAAGGATCAAAGAGTATATAAACTTAAAGCATTATACCATCAGAAAGAAAATAGTTGTTTATATACATTAACACCAGAAAACTTTCTTTTTACTAGATTCTGGAAGCCCTTTCTACATCAAACTCCTTCAGAGTATGACATAAACAGTTTATATTCTAAATCACATAATCGTGATCTTCCACTACAGCTTTCTAGCAAAGGATTAAAGTATTCTTTGTCTTCTCTACATGGCCTCAAAGGGCTTTATAGCAACTGTGTGAACATTTGAAGGGTAGTTCACATCCCTGATATTTCATTGTATACTATCCATTTCCAATTAAATAAATCAAATTCCCATTTGTGTGTCTGTGTATGTGTGTGTTTGTGTGTATGTGTGTTTGCCCAGAATATTCTTTTGTTCCACAGCCAGTTAGACAAGGCTTTTCCATTAGGAATACTGTACTTCCCCCCCTTATGCTAATGGATTTATGTAATTTTAAGACATATAATTAAAATAAATTATATGCTAATACTACCTTATATTTTGTTACCAAATGTTTTTGGCTACTACATCAAATGCTGTGGCTTGGCATATATAGACTTGCTCCTTTCTTAACTTCGATTTTGTCAGCTCCCCCATCCCTCCACCACAATCTTAGCTGCCTCCTTTCTAGAAGACAAATACAATCTCAATGTTTAAATGTGTTTTACTCAGCTTTCTTTATGTTTCCAAAAGCTGAATTGCAGAATCATTATTACATTTATCTTCTTTGTCTCCTTTCTCTGTTCTCAATCTCCAATTCCATTAAAAAAATTCAAATGCAGGATTGTAGTAAGAAACAACAATGTGAATTTCCAAAGTGCTTTCTGCATTTTGTTTAGCACAAACGAAAATCACATTAACCTTAAACCTTTAAAATATCACAACCAAAGGCCTTCCAAATGCAAGACTAGGTAGTTATTTGCTACCTCAAAATATTAAGTGTAGCATTATAATGTTAGCTTCTAAATAAATCTACCAAAATTTAGCCCTGGTCACTAAAGAACAGATAACGGCAGGCTGCCCTCAGCTATATAGCTACACAACAAGCTCCTTTACCTGTGGGGCACACATCTATAAATGGGACTAGTGAACCAAAGAGCAATGAATGGTGTTTCCAGAGAGGCAAATTATACCATTCCCAAACTGAATTATTTTTCTGAACTAACCACCACGTACAATTAAACTTCTTCAATCTCAGTACACCAGACCTTAGACAGAAATGGATTTCAAGTGTTGTTTCCTCTGCTGCCTCTCTGTGGCCAAAGTAAGTATCTGCACCCATCTGTAGTAGTGGTTAATAGTAAAAATAGTATGTGGTGTTTACTGCATGCCAGCTACTTTACCAAATTTATCCCATTTGCTCTTTGCAACAAACTGGTAAACAGAATCATATATTCTGATATGACTTGCTGAAATGGCCTAAATAACAGAGAGAATGTGAAGCAATTTTGTGTATGTAAAGTTCTACACATATGAAATGCTTTCTCACTCACATATTAGGAGATAACTGGTGAACCATGGAACCATTCATAATTAGAATCCAAACCTATCTTACCCCAATAAAATAAGTTCCCCCATTTTACTGATGAAGCAACTGAGATACAGAGAAGTCCAGCAATTTGCCAAAGGACACAGATTGTAATGATAGAGCTCGAATCTGGCCCGAGTAGTCTGACTTCTGATCCTGCACTCATTAGCACTGTGCTGGAATATAGCAATAGCAGAAAGCTTATCAACCTTCCAGGGCCTTGCAGGTGTCAGGAGGATTCTACTCCTATGTCTGACACTGAATAACTAAAACACCCTGAGCTCTGACAATAAGGTGCTCTAAAACATCTGAGTCCCTCTCTTTCCACCTCCACTGTCCCTGCAGATAGAAGGGCTCAGCTTCAAGGCACTGTGCTTCTTAACAACGTGAGATGTGCACTCTCACTGGGGCATCACTCTGGATCTGAGCTGCCCTACAGCCAGTGGCACCGATTCTGTTAGCCGCAGACTCACTGTAAGCTTCCCAGGAGACTCAGGGATTCTTTCTATGCAGGGAATGGGCAGGACACCGCTATAATCTGCTGATTCGTTTCTGGTAGGTGATAGTTACAAAGGGTCAAAAATGGAGGTCAGGGAAACATCTCTCATCATTCATATGGTTTTGTATAAGTCAGTCTCTCTGGGACTTTAATGTTCCCTTTCATGAGATAGGAGAGGGTGCCAAATTGTGGAAGTGATTAAACTATATCAAGTCAGATCTCTCTGAAAAGCCATTATGGGGCGAACTATTTTGAAGAATTATCTATAAAAACTGCATGCACACGGAGATACACTCATATGCCTCAAGAGTTTACACACTGTGGTAGACTAAATAGGGGCCTCCCCAAAGATGTTGATGTTGTAATCCTGGAATTTGTGGACCTTACTCTATGCTTTACATAGAAAAAGAGACATTGCAGATGTGATCAGAGTAAGGATTTTGAAATGGGGATATTATCTCAGATTATCCTGGGGGGGGGGCCAATGCAATCATAAGGTTCCTTATAAGAGGGGCATAGGAGGAATCAGTCAGAGAGAAGGCAAAGTGGGAACCCAAAAGGAGTGTCAAGGAGCATCAGAGTGACACCTGAGAAATTAGCCATTGCTGGCTTTGTCATAAGCCAAGGGAAGGCAGACAGCCTCTAGAGGTTGCAAAACACAAGTAAATGGATTTTTCCCCTAGAGCCTCCGGAAGGAACACAACCCTGATAATACCTTGACTTTAGCCTAGTGAGACCTGTGTAACCGGTGTCAGAACAGTCAGAAATATATACTGTTCTTATAGTTACCGAACCATAATAAATTTGCACTGTGTAAAGTCACTAAGCTTCTGGTAATTTGTTTCAGGGGCAGTATGAAACTAATACACATACCAACACATTTCAGGAAATTTATGAATCCACAAGCTGGTCATGAATGACATGTCCTGGGTTAGGGTCTCTTCAAGGTAATTTCTAGCACTAGCATCCTATGATTCTATATGCACTGATGCTCTGCCCTAGGCAAAATTTGCTCCCGGTAAATAATCTATAATAGAATATTTTATAAATATATATAATATAATGCATTCTAATTGAAGGTATTCTAAAGTGCAGAAAGAACAGCTGGATATATATTTTTTAGGTATCGATAGATGTTTCAGTCTAAACTACAAATAAAAAACATTTCAACATACTTTTCTTCTCTAGTTGCTACTGAGCGACATCAACAGAACTATATATGTAAATTGTTTCACAATGTGGACATGGCCAGCATCTGAAATATGAGAAAACAAATGCTAAAAGGGAAAAAATAAAGCTAATCTGGACCTATGTGGTGCTTTTTGATTACATAAATCTTATAGATCAAGAAAAATCAGCTTATTAGTTTATGCTTACCATTCTTTCACTTTGAGGTAGCTTGACTTTGAGAAAGCTGCCTACAAAATAAGCATCTTTACTCCAATAATGATTTTATAGATCCTATGAGGTCCTATCAGACCAGAGAAAGGTCTGTATTTTGTGGGGATGATAAAGCAAAAGACAAAACCATCCAAGTGGTGGAGCGAGAATAGTAAAATTCGGTATGCAATTCACTACTACTTGCCATCAGGGTGCCGGGCACTTTGAGTTCCTTCTTGGAAATTTTCTGGAACCCACTCGCGTGGGGCTCTCGGAGCCGGACCTCACCGCATGGACCCAGGTCTTTCCTTCCTGGAGCGTGGCGAGCCTGGGGTATTCCCCGACTATGTCTATAGTACCCAACGCGGGGTGGTGGCGGGTCCCTTACTCAATGTGCTGCACCTCTGGCACCCAGGGTGGGTACCAGCGCACTACCTCCGATCAGGTAGACCATTGGGGTGGCGCGTCAAGTCCTCTGTGGCTTACAACTGGCCCTTCAGATCGCTGTCCTCCCCAGCCCCTGATCACATGGTGACTTCGCGCTCTCCCGGACTAGTCAAGCGCATTCCTCGCTGGCGAATGCAACTGCTGGACTGGATTCACCCACCTGGAAGGTAGGGTGCCGCTGCCACTGAAAGAGATCCCATTTTAGGGATGCGGTGATCCTGGCCTGAAGAAATCAAGACATGGTTGGAAGATATGTAGTAAGTTTAGCGTGACTAGAAAACAAATGATCACTCACATTTTCCGGCATACTTTGGTTAAGACTTGCATTTGTGGACATCAACAAGAGAGCACATTCTTTGAGAAAATCACTGGAAGCCAGGATTCAGGAGCAACATGATGGATGATGGAACTTAATGAGAATGATATGACCAACATTACCTTAATGGCATTAGGATACTGCAGAAGCAAGAACTGTATTTCAGTAGAAGTTACAAAGAGTCATGGCATTCTGAGTAGTAACAGTACTGCTACTTTTTTTTTTTTTTCCCATGGTGGGAGACAGGCAGCTAGACAGGAACAGTGCATTTTTAATGATAAAGAACATGAAGAGATGGTGCATGGACACTACAGAGAATCTTCATGCTCACTGATTAAACAATAAACAAATGCATACGTGTCTCTATTTTAAATCTTCATCAGTAAATCACCATATCTTACTTGGCCCATGAATTTTTAAAATACATCTTTTAATAAAATTGCTTATATAGACAGGCACCCCACAAAACATGTTTGCCCAGGAAGCTACACACCATTAGGGGCATCCCTGACTCAACCCTTCACTATATTTTCTCACAAGAAGCCAAAAAATGATTTGACTTAAGTGTTATTTAACTCTCAAGTTCATTTTCCTTCTACATTTTAAGTAATTTATATTGTATTTCACTAGCCCTATCTTCTTCTGTATTTCTTCTCCTTTATTTTCTCTCCTTCTCTATCTAGTACCTTTCAAATCCAAATCAAAGGTGTGTGTGCGTGTGTGTGTGTGTGTGAGAGAGAGAGAGAACGGGGGGAGAGTAATATTAATAAATAACTCTAGCACAATTTTAACATGCCATGAGAAAAATAAAATTAGGTAAAGAGGATAGGGCATACTGAGAAGAGTAGCTGTGATTTTAAGCAGGGTAATCGGGGTAGCCTCATCGAGAAAGTTACATTTGAGGAAAGACTTGAAGGAGGTGAGTGAGTAAGCCATGTAGGTATGGGAGGAAGAGCATGCCAAGCAGAGGGAAAGCAAGCGCAGACTTCAGGAAGAGTACCTGCATCGCATGCTGGAGGAACTGTGTTATTGTGGCAGGAGCAGAGAATAGGTGGCAGAGCAGTAGGAGATAAGGTCAGAGAGGTAACAAGATGTGCAGGTGAGGGTTGCGGAGCCAGATGGGCCTTTAATTTGAGAGGAGCGGTTGGTTGAGTAGAGTGACATGACCTGATTTATACTGTAGCAGGATCACTCTGACTGCTATGTTGAGTCAGAGCAGATTGTAAATGAGGGCGGAAGCAGGGAGGTCAGTTAGGCTAGAAGTGATACTGAGATCACTACCCTTCAAGGGAACTCTCCAGAGTATACAAAATTAGAATTTCATATGGCTAATTGTATTTGTGACTAGTGATGAGTTTTGGGACACTTGAGTAAATGAAACATTAGCCACATGAACTAAGAGAATTAAGATTAACCTTTAAATAGGGAATCTGAAATTCTGTGCATCTGAGAGTAGTGAGATTGCTTAGAAAAATCATAGGCACAGACAAGTAAAAATAAACACCAGAACAGTTTTTAAAAACTGATATTAGGAAATAGCAACTGGGAGTTTGCATTACTTGCAAAGAAACTTAGACGAAAACAAATGAGTAAGACAACTATCTTAGGGACATTATTCTTTAGTAATGAAGATGAATGGAGAACAGTAACAGAGAGCAGAAGTGCTTCAGAAGATATTATATACATTCAAAATTATGAGTAACACTAATATCCTACTTTTTAATTTGCAATGTGCTTTTATATACATCATTTCATGTTCTCTGAATGATCTTATAAGCTTATTTAGCTTATAAATAGCTAAAGCTGGGCTTCTCACATCTGGCCTCAGATCCTGTGATGTTCTCCCTACACCATTTGCCTACCTGCAGAGCTTGAAACACTCCTGTCCTCTAACATCTTTATAAATTAAAAACAAAACACTAAAATAAAGCCAATTTGCCTCATAACAATTCAGAAAGCGAGTAAAGGGCCTTCCTGTGTCTGTGAAGTGTCTTTGTCATTGTCAAAATCAAATTAGAGATCAACCAAAAAATTCTTAATGATGTCCATGTAGATGTGACGAAGATTTGGGGGTGTTCTCTTGATTACATTAGCACTGGAACTCTCTTAGGGAGGTATCTGCAGTATTAAGTAACAGAACAAAACCACCACATGAGCATTCTGAAATATGAAGGCTTTATAGTGAATATATGTAACAGGCTTGAAAAGGTTATTTTACCAAAAATTCCGTTAATAGTAAAACAAATAAAGGAGCACTTCATTTATTAAATTAAAACTTGCAACCAACATTAATCTTTTTCTAAATATAAACCTTAAATTTGTTGTCTTGCTGTGTCTCATCTATTCTGATAGGTTGTTTTTATTATCAGTTAGGAAAAGTTTAAAAATTTTACCTTCTTCTTTGATCCATTATTTAAAGGTGTTATCAACTTCTTCCGTCAAACTCATTCCGTCTTCATTACCTGTCATTTGGTTTCTAGAACTTCATCTTTCCTATTGTTCTAGCCAAAAACCATTTTTGACTTCTCTTACAACCCACATCAAATCCTGATCCTACAGGATCTGCAAATTCCTTCTCAACCCCCAGTTCACTGTGCATTAGCCATACTGGCTTCCAAAATACCAAGTGGACTCTCACCTTAGGACCTTCGCACTGACTCTTCTGTCCAGCTCGTCCCAACAAATCATTGCTTTCTGTGAACTCAGGATATCCAGAAAAATAAGCACCTTATATTTGCAAAGTTACTTCATGTATTTTATTTGATTCTCACCACTGTCCGTAGAGTTCCCAATTTTTCCCTCAAAGTTTAAAAGAATGACCCAAATCAACCTTTAAGACCCAGAATCCGTACCAAAGTGTACCTGAATGTGTTTAACTATTCCTCTGCTAATAAGTAGTACTTCCCAATAGAAGATCAAGAGGCTTTCTGGTCCATAGTACATCATCATTTTAACAAGAGAAAACTTCAGGGGCATCTGGGTGGCTCAGGTCATGATCCCAGAGTCCTGGGATCGAGCCCCACATCGAGCCCTGCATTGGGCTCCTTGCTCTGCGGGAAGCCTGCTTCTCCCTCTCCCACTCCCCGTTTGTGTTCCTGCTCTCACTGTCTCTGTCAAATAAATAAATAAAATCTTAAAAAAAAATATCATTCCTCCATTGAATTGCCTTTAAAAAAATTTAAAAAAAAAGAGAAAACTTCAGAGCCTTTATCATTGGGGAACTTATTTAAAAAGTGTTACCTCCACTACACAAGTGAAATCAGCTTTAATAGAGAAAACGAAAGAAAATACAAAAGAACGTGAAGTATATGTTGCGAGTATTTTCTTACATTTCCCCATGTTCCTTTACTATAAACATAAAATATAAATAGCTCGTTAATAGTCTTCTCTTAAAAGTACCATGCTCATTTAGCGATTTTCTTAGCTTGTGCCCTTATGGGTCTCTGAAAATTTTAACTGCTGCGATGAACTTGGAGACAACAGATGCGTATATTTTAAGTATTACCTCCTCAATTTTATTCTCCCAAATCAAAAATTCTGAACATTTTCCGGAGTACTGATACTTATTTTTACATTGCTTACCAAAACTGTTAAATGAAATCTACACCCCCCTTTATCAACTCACAGAAATAAATCACACACTTAGAACTCTGTCCGGCCGCGTTCAGTTTACAAAATCAGTAAGGAAGCCCAGGGATCTAGAACTCAGATCTCTGGACTTCCAGTCAATTCCTTCCCCGATTCCCTGCAACTGGCTATTTAGCAACTAGGCCGACCCGCGCGTCGCACCAGCAGAGCTTCTGCTTCTCTGCCCACTAGAGTCTACCCTGGTCGGCCTCTCGCCCAACTCCCCCGGGATGCCAAGGAACTAGGAGACTCGACAAGCGTAGAAATCACCTGGACCCCACCATTAGCCGACAGAAGCAGCGCGTCGGTGAGCCCCGCCGAGGCCACAGGGGCGCAAACCGGAAGCCGGAAGCGACGAAGTTCGCGGAGGCGCCCCGCGTCCCGCCCGCAGCCACTTCGTCCCGCCTGCAGCGACAGCGTCCCGCCTCGGTACGCATGGCCACCTTTCAGTCTAGACCCATCGAGCGAGGATGTCGCGCTGAGTGGCTTCTCAGGCTCAGGCCCTGAAAAGCCCAGGAACCGGCCCCAGGTGTCCGTAGCGAATGCCAGACCCGGTGCCCTTTTCCATCTCAGCAAATCCCAAGCGGCGGTGGGACCGGCAGCTACTCAGCGCTCCACTGGCCAGGCCTAACGAGTCGAACGCGGAACTAGAGAGCAGGCGTAGGCCCGTGTGGGACTGTTGCTCAGCAGGCCCGGCCTGGCTTTGGGCCCCGAGCTTCCCAGCCCGGGACTCTGCGCCTGCGCCCGTCCGGCCGCTGCCCGCTCTCCCGGCGCGGCCGAGGTCCCAGCTGCAGCGCGCAGCCTGGGTGGCTGGACGGTCCATGGGCAGCAGCGAGGGCCACGATGACAGATTACGGCGAGGAGCAGCGCAACGAGCTGGAGGCTCTGGAGTCCATTTACCCCGACTCCTTCACAGGTGACTTCCGTGGCTGCGGGCCCGGAGCGGCCCGGGGGTGGAGTGGGATGGGCCGGAGCCCTCGGCCTCCCGGGCGAGGATGGAGAAGGGGACAGCGAGGCCGCGTGGCCACCTCGCCCGCTACTCTCTCTTCACCTTCTTCTCCCGACGTGTTGAGGCACTTAGGAGTAACTCCACAGCTTTTCCCATTCTCCGCTTATTCCCTGAAATCTGAAAAGTCCGGGATAGGCTGGCGAGGTCCCTGGAGAGTGTCAGGCCGGGAATTGAGTTGGGTGCACTTTGGTTTCTGTGTAATTTACAGCGACCCGAGGTTTAATGAAAAAAACACGAAAACAGATACTCAAGTGGGAGTAGTTTTTCTAGAGCTGCAGAGGTGTCGATTTTCACCTTTACTCGGGTGGAAGCTGTTTTTGCATACGTTGGTGTTTTAAAGTTTATGGGATTCAGAGTGCTGTTCTCCAAAGTTACCCAGAATCAGTTTTGAGAGTCCCTGGGATTTGTCGTTTTTCTTTTCTTTCTTTCTTTCTTTTCTTTCTTTCTTTCTTTCTTTTTTTTTTTTTTTATATCATGCGAATGCCCAGTGAATGATGTGGCACAAATTTCAGTTCCACTGCAGATTCACATGTTGTTAGGGAGGGATATTAGACATCATCTGGCCTGGACGCGTCTTGCTACAAGCAAGGTAATGGAGGCGCAGGAAAGGTAAGTGGCTTGCTTTGGGTCTAGCCAGCAAGTTAGCGGCGGAACTGGTACTAAGAGTTAGGTCTGGACCCCCTTCCTGTTCCTTCACTTTGCAGACATGTGGAAATTGGGATCTAGCTCCAGGTGGGATGAAGGGGAGCAGACGATCACTTAATAGGTTGGGCTAATATAAAATATTATTAAGAAGCTCATTCGGTATGTTTTAAAGGAAGAGAATTTTTCTGTGTTAAGCCGTGCTTCAGATGATTTTGAAAGTGCTGCAACATAACCCTATCAATATGGCTTTTCTCACATTACACTTAGTGTTTGAGAAGTGATCAAATAAAGCCAGTATGAGTGAGTGGAACCTAGGTTTGTGGGATACACAGCCCCTATCCCTTCCTTTGTTGTTCATCGGTGTCAGAATTCAGAATGTAAGGTATGTTCAACTCCAATCCCTCTCCCTTTCATTGTTTAGCTTAGTTTTCTTAGCTCCATTTTTTGACCACTGCTTGCAATGGTAGCAAATTTTGTTCTGCTTTGCCAACAGGCAGATGTCTCTCAGCTTCCCCTGTATAGTTCCAGTCCTGTTCATGTTCTCTCTCACCAGCAGTACAGCTGTGCTGTGAGGATGTTAAGGGGATGAGTGAAGAGGGGTTTGAGAGTGTCATTAACTGGGTGAGTGTGTATGGAGTCTGGCTCCCTTCTCTATCCTTGCTTATATGTCAATGTCTAAATAAAAGAGAATATAGGGTCAGTTGTTGGATATATTCTTAATCGTGAAGTTTGGTCATTTCTAGTACATTGGAAATGTAATTGGCACTGTGTAGGTAGAGTTAAGAAAGCATAAGGTGTGCTAGTTTTTTCTATGGACATAAGGTATCCCTCATTAAATACTGTGCATAGAAGCATTTTAAAAAAGTGATACATTTTTTAGTCTTAAACCAATCTTATGGTTCTTTCAAATTGTACTAAGCTCTGATACAGTTCAGTATGTGAAATTCTTGTCAGATGCAAAAGTGCTTGAGGATTCTGAGCCAGGGTAATAAGACAGTTTATGAATCTCTGATGCATTCAAGTATTCTGCAGTATCAGCTGAGCCCATCCGTCTCTAATTCCTACCAGCATTCCTATAAACTTTGCAATAAATAAAATAAGATGTCTTGATTTATACTTCTTTAGGGACCTTGCCTCACTCATGATCGTGTTGTTTATGTAACCTCTCAGGGAAAAGGCAGAGGAGTTTGGAATAAAACCCTTCCATGTTTGATCTTTTGAAATTATGAGGATTTGCAAGATTTACTGTTTTACAGCCTTCTTTTGGGTTGATGATTTCATATTTTCCTGTTTTCATACCAGGTTTAAGAAGAGAGCTTGCTTGTGTCAGTTTGCCAAGGAACACTGATTGGCAGTTTTCTAATTTCATTTTGAGTCACATTTAATATTAGATTTGGTAAATGCTCAATGCTCTTGAGGAAGGAAGTAGATATACTTTTTTTTTTTTTTTTTTTTAAATAGATAGCTTGGTGCTTGACAGAGAACCCTTTGTTAAGCACATCATGACCCCCTCGTGGTTGCTTTTAGAGGCACAATCCAGCTAGCCCATAGTTCTAGCCACATAGACCTAGCCTAACCTCGGAATTGATTGCTTGACTATTTGCAAAGAACTTTTGGTCCACTGTTGAATTTGTTGTGAATTATAACAAATCATAATACAGTTTCTTCTTTTTGCCTGTTCTGTAGCTTGATTGCACATTGATCCAATCCTCCTAACAACTAGTCTTCCAAAATATAAATGGACTCTCCTGATACCACATTCTCCTTCAGTAGTGCTTCACTTGACAAGGCCCTGCTAAGGTAGTAGAATTTGGTTATTTCCATTTCTGTATCCAAATCTCTGACTATGGGGAATTTTGTTGAAACAAATTGGTTGGCTTCGGGCTAACCAAAAGTCAAGTTCCCTTAATTCTGTTTGGTCTTACAAAGAGGGGTACGTAATTCTGTATTTGCTTGTGTCAGTACCTCTAAGTGGCAAACGTGAGCATGTAACAGTTATAATTGCATCTTAGAGATGGGGCAGAAGTCATCTTTTAAAAGCCGTTTTTCTAAGACACTCCCTAAGAATCACAGGGACTTATTTTAATATGGGCTGTCTGGTTCTTTGTGAAAACCTTGATGTCATTCATGTGTCCCTTTAGTGTACCTTTCAGCTATTACCTCCATTATGTCTGTCCTTAATTCTGTCCAGTTTACCATCATCTGCCTCTCTATCACTTAATAGTTCTCCTGCTTGTCCACTCATTCCTTCCACTATGCCCAATGGCCTTATTTTTCTCAAAAATATTTTGATCCACTTACAATAGTGGAAATCTGGCATCTTTAGTGAAGGCTAATTTTATCCCAACTCACAGTAATGCATTGGAATGGGATTATTCCTTTATCAGAGTGCTGATGAATCATTCATCTTTGCTAGTCCAGTGAAATAACTTTCCCATCCCAATGTTAGTCTCCTCCAAATTTTGGAATATTCTTTCTTTTTCCTTTCTTTTCCCCGTTCCTTTCCTTTCCTCTCTTTCCCTTTTCCTTTCCTTTCCCCTTTCCTTACTTTCCTTTCCTTGGATTAGGTTCAGCTGTGACAGAAAACCCCCAAAAGCAAAAAGGTAAAAGTTTAGGGGTGCCTGGGTGGATCAGTTGGCTAAGTGTCTGACTCTTGGTTTTGGCTCAGGTCATGATCTCAGGGTCGTGGGATCTAGCCCTGCATCAGGCTCTACACTTAGCTCGGAGCCTGCTTGAAATTCCTCCCCTCTCCCCCCGCTCATGCTCTCTCTCTAAATAAATAAATTAAAAAGGGTAAAAGTTTTTTGCTTTTGCGCATAAGAGATAGTTGTGTGGCTCTAGTCCAGGAATTCCTCAGGTACCCAGGCTGCTTCTTAGTTCCTTGTCACTCCTAAGACGTGGTCTCTACCTCATGATGAAGATGGCAGCATTCCTTTCCAGGCAGTAGGGTAGATATAGGAATTGGTGGATGGGGGGAGAGAAGCCAAAGACTGCGGTTTCTTAAGTAAATTTCCTGGGAACTGTCAAAGGACTTACTTGCTTCCATCTCATTAGCTGGAACTTGGTCATTTGGTGAGACCTAACTGGGAGGGAGGGTGGAAATACAGTCTTTATTCTGCGTGGTTAATATGCTCAGTTAAAAGTGGTGTAACTAGAAGTTGGGGTGAGTAGAGAGTAGGGGATATAAGCAGTGTTCTCCAGTATCCTTTGTTGTTGTTGTTGTTCTTGGCTCACATTTTTTTCTCTGTAATGGCAGCTTGGTGTAGGGGATATGAGCTCTGTGTCTTTGGGCAACTCGTATAACATCTCCAAGCTTCAGTTTCCATGTGTGTTTAATGAGAAGTAGTACAAAGGATGCAAATACTTTATAACTGTTAAATATATGTTATTCTTTACTAGAGATTTACCATCTTAGTTGCTGATTCTTCTAATAATATGGCTTCATAATTCCTTGTCTTTATCAATGAACAGTTTTGATTTCCATTTCCTTCAACTGTATGGGGGCATAGCCACACCTTGTAAATGCCCTCTTTAGAATTTTGCCTTCTGAAAGTCCTCTTTCTGTCCATAAACTTTGTAGTCCCACAGTTCTTCATTCCAGTTCTTTTGCTGAACATGCCTCTCATCATGATTTCTCGTGGATTAAGAGTTTATCAACTTCTTTCTTGTCTGTCTTGCCTCTATTCTGTATGTTTCCCAAGGTCAGGCAAATCAGTGATGTTCTTGCTAGCATCCCAAGTCCTCATTTACCAAATATTTATTATATACATTGTTAGAATCTCAGTCAGTTGGGAAAAGACATCAGATAAGTAATTTACAACATAGTGTGACGATTCTTTCATGGAGGAATGCATAGGATGCAGCCAGAGCACAGGAAAAGGGGAGGGTCTTGGTTGTTTTGGAGAACTGAGGAGTGATGAGGAGCTAACAAGTGAATGAGACTATGAAGCAGGACTCTCTGAAAGCAAAATGTATTTAAAGGAAAAGTGGCTTGATATGCCTAAAACATAAAGTGAGTACTGAGAGTCATGAAAAATGAGGCCTGACAAGTGAGCAGGGGCCAGATTACAGAGGGCCTTGTTAGGGATTTTTAGATCTGATCTTTCAAGCCAGTGGTTCATCACCCATTTCCCCCTGATAGGGCTAGACAGACCCATATAGTACACATTGTAGACAGTGCCATACCATACCAGGATCGCAATAGTTAGGATGCCTTCACAAATAAAATAGACTTCTCGAGTTTGTTTTGACCTCTCATGGCTGCTGCTTTTCTTTTTGTCTCTGGCACTTTTTCCTCCTCATACTTTTGTTTCCCAAATTTAGAATTCCTTACAAAGCCAGTGTTGGCCCTATTTCTCTATTTTTTCCTCTGGTGATCTCATTTAGTCTAATAGCTTTAGCTCCATTTGCCCATTTCTGATTGCATATTGCATACTCGGTATCTCCAGCTGAAAGTTCTTTGTGTCATTTAAATGTATCATCTCTGATCTTTCTTTTGTATTTTTTGTTTTTGTTAGTTGCGCTACCGTCCTCTGCCTGCAAATTTGGAATGTAGAGTCCCACCTGTTCCCTGCTATTCCCGTGGCTGCTAACCTAGTTCAGAACCTCATTAACCTTGCTGGGATGATTTTAATAGCTGTCTAGTTTCATCCTGCCTCTAGTCTTGTTTCTTTCCTTCCAATTTATGCCCTGTTGCTAGACTTATCTTCCTATGATTAGAAATACAATTCTGCCCATGCTGCTAAAAAAAACTCATTGTCCACAACCTGAACTTTCAGCAGTATTTTTTCAACTAGTTTTCTTCACCCACATATACATCCACCAAATGGAATAATTTCTTCTTCCCTATATATTCCTTAAACTTTTCCACCATTATACCCTTGCTGCCATGTTTCTGTTGCCTGCATTTCTTTTCTCCATCTTTACTTACCAAATGCCTTAATTCATGGTCTAGCTCAAGTGACTTTGCTGGAATTTCTCAGCTGGAAAAAAACATTTTCTTTTTACATGAAACTCAATATAGTTTATTCAGTTCTTCCAGTTACTAGCTGAATAACCTTGGGCAGATTATTTAAGAGCTCTTTTATCTGTTTCCACATCTATGAAATTGGGATAATACTATATTTAATTAGTTCTGAGACATTTGTATGTTTTAACATCTCTGAAATAGGAATTTGTCTTATAATCGATTACATATTGAAGTTTAATTGGCAGATTTTTTTTTCTCACTTAGTACATAAAGTAGAATGCATCTCATAGTTGATAGTATCTTAAATTTGGTGTAATATGGTAACAGTATAAAATCGTGGTCTTGGTGTAAGAATTAAAGGATCTTTGTGTAAATGCATAGTACAACACAGGCCCAAAGTAGTGCTCAATAAATGTTAGCTGTTACTAGGTGTAGGCAACCCTTAAATTATGGCTCATGGAGTCCTAAAAGGGGTAATCAGTTGGACTGTCATTGAGTTGAACCCTTATTTCTGTAGTTGCTATGTTTACATTTTATGATATGTAAATGCTGAAGTTGGTCATGAAAAGAAGTAGAAATGCATTAGATATATTTTATACACATTTGTCAAAAAAAAAGGGTCAGTCATATTTTAAAACCTTTATTATAATCACCTTTCAGGGACTTTTTTTTAGCGTGGGCTGGACTATCTGAGGCCTGTTATACTTTGAGTCCAGTGAGTCTTATCTTCTTGACAAATACTTTCATAATAATCATAGATATTCATCATGCTTCAGGTACTTTTAAACTTCAATTAAGATGAAGGCATATGTCTTGAAAATTTTATTGATAATGAATATTTATGAAAGCTTCAGAAGTTCTTGAGTAGGAAAAGCTGAGTATTTTCCTCGGTGACTTCTTCAGAGATCTCCTTGCCCTTTCATTTCAGAAAGAGGTTGCTGAGCTGCTGCCAACCTTGACAGGGGCCAGTGCTTCCCAGGGCTGCAGTGAGGCACAGGCTTTTCTCAGGGGCTCAGCAGCAATTACAGGTGGCCTGCATTTTTCTTGTTTACTCTTCTAATGGCTCTGAATATCAGTTTAATTTGTTTTTGTTTTTCTACTTTCATTCCATTGTTTTGGCTCTGCCATTTAGCCAGAATTTGTTGAATTTCTAGATACTGCCAGGCACTGTTCTAGGAGCTCTCATAATTTTTATAGTATTCTTACAGGGGAAGAGATATAAACATATATACTATCAGGTATCAGGCTGTAAAATGGTATATATGCTTTCTTATTTATATAAATGTTGATTTGCATGTCTTGACTTGCTTAACAAATTGTAAGCAATTTGATGTTTGGATTTATGGCTAATTTTATAATTCTTTGAAAGATGGTTGAGACTCAATAACTGGTGAAAGAATAAAGTTTGGTTCTAGGGATGATGTGGGAGAAAGAGATAGTTAGAAGACACAAACTCTAACAAATTAATATTTATTGTTTGTCATGGAGATTCTAAATTATACCTTAGAATATATAAATTTAAAAATTAGTGATAATACTGAGTATCAGTGGATAGTCTCATGAAACATCAAACTTTTTTTGTCATTCTGTTTGGGAATTTTTTAGAATGTAGTTTTCCCTGTATAGATGGAAATTTTGAATTAAAAGGTAAATTAATTATTTTAATTGATTTGATAAAACTCCCAAGAGTTTATCTACTATAGGTATTTTTTTTCAAATTAAAGATAACCCTAGATTTAAATAGAAAATTGACGAGTGTTTTATCATTTGAATGGTTCAGTCTGTATTTGTGGAAATGGAAATACAGACTAGGGATCAATTTTCGGGACTGGGTAGTGATATTTTGCTAATAAGAAAAGTATTTGCCTTAGGAAGCATATTAATAACTTAATCTCTGTGTATATTTTCTTGCAGTATTATCAGAAAATCCACCCAGTTTCACCATTACTGTGACATCTGAGGCTGGAGAAAATGATGAAAGTAAGTCCAATCAAAAATACTGTGGTTTTCCTAAGTTGCTCTCAGGAATGTTACTCCTTCTGCAGCCATTATGTTGGGCATTGAAGATGTGAAGGTGCTAATAAATAAGGTGCTATTAGGAATCTAGCATGAATGTTGTGAATCTCTAATTAACATTTACTATGTAAACATGACTTATAGAGAGAGAGGAAGTCAGTGAGATATATTCTGACACAATGAACTTAGTTTTAAAAAGTGAAAAAGAAACATTAACAATATAGCAAATGGAGAAAAGGTAGAAGATTACTGTCTAAAGCGAGACTTTGAATGCATGCATATTTCAATGACTATGTGGTATTCCATGTTATTTTTCCATGATTGTTTTTCCTCTTTTGATATTTAGATTGCTTATTGGACATTTGCTGTTTATTTATAAATTAAGCTGGATAGGGGGGCCTGGGTGACTCAGTCATTAAGCATCTGCCTTGGGCTCAGGTCATGATCCCAGGGTCCTGGGATCGAGCCCCGCATCAGGCTCCCTGCTCAGCAGAAAGCCTGCTTCTCCCTCCCACTGCCCCTGCTTGTGTTTCCTCTCTCGCTGTCTCTCTCTGTCAAATAAATAAAATAAAAAAAAAAATTAAACTGGATAAATGTCTTTCTTTATGATTTTCTCTCTCTTTAGAATGGATATTGTACTGTAGTTTAAATATATTTATACATAAAACAGGTAAAAGCCACTAACATACAACTGTAGAACTAAGATAAATATACTGATGGAAATAAAACAGCTGTAAAACCAATAATTTACAATTAAATAGATTGATTTAAATGTGGCAGATGTTGGGGGAGGATCTGAAGTTCATTTCCACCATTAGTCCAGTTAATTTTGGGATTTGGTAAAAATGTTCCATAAATTGGCATTAACCCCAAGGATTTTTTTTTTTTTTTTAGCATTAAGCTAGTCAACTGAAATTCTGCTATGAGCAGTCAGTAATGCAAATTTTAGCAATATTGATAACTCTAAATCTGTCTTGTACAACTGAAAATGAGATTAGCAAAGAGCTATTACTAAAATCTGAATTAAAAAGATGTTGGACACAGTTATTTACTTCTATATGTATATATATATATATATATATATAGGTTTTATACAAAGAATCTCAAATACAAGGGCGCCTGGGTGGCTCAGTTGTTGGGCGTCTGCTTCAGCTCAGGTCGTGGTACCGGAGTCCTGGGATCAAGCCCCGTGTCAGGCTCCCTGCTCAGCCAGGAGCCTGCTTCTCCCTCTCCCACTCCCCCTGCTTGTGTTCCCTCTTCTGCTGTGCCTCTCTCTGTCAAGTAAATGAATAAAATCTTAAAAAAAAAAAAATCTCAAATACAACCTTTGTATTCTTTTATACTTTGAAATGTAAATAAATGTATAGAAGATACTTTAAAATATCCTTTAAAAATTACTTTTGGTGATCTTTTCCTGATGGTGGGATTATTACTGATTTTGTTTCCCCCTTCATATATTTCTAAATTTTCTGTAATGAATGTCTATTACATCAAATAGTAAAATCAATAAATGTATAAAAAAAATCTTGTTCTAGCAATAAAATTAGAAATGTGCTAATTAAGAAAGAAAATGCCAAAAGACACTGTGTATCCTTATTGGCCTAACAATCTTTTTTTTTTTTTTTTTTTTAATTTTACTTAGTTAACATACAGTGCAACATTGGTTTTAGGAGTAGAATTCAGTGGTTCATCACTTACATATAACACACAGTGCTCATCATTAACAAGTGCCTTCTTCAATACTCATCACTCATCTAGCCCACCCCCCACCCACCTACCTCCATCAACCCTCAGTTTGTTCTCTGTAGTTAAGAGTGTCTTATAGTTTGTTTCCCTTTTCTTTTTTTTTCTTTTCCCCCTTCCCATATGTTCATCTGTTTTCTTTCTTAAATTCCACATATGAGTGAGTTCCTATGATATTTGTCTTTCTCTGACTGACTTATTTCACTTAGCATAATATACTCTAGCTCCATCCATATCATTGCGAATGGCAAGATTTTTTTTTTGATGGCTGAGTAATACTCCGTTGTGTTTATTACCACATCTTTATCTGTTCATCAGTCGATGGACATTTGGGCTCTCTCCAGAGTTTGGCTATTGTTGATAATGCTGCTCTAAACATTGGGGTGCATGTACCCTTTCGAATCTGTATTTTGTATCTTTTGGGTGAATACCTAGTAGTGCAGTTGCTGGATTGCAGGGTAGTTCTGTTTCTTATTTTTTTAATAATTTTTTTATTATATTAGTCACCATACAGTAACTTTTTTTTAAGGATTTATTTATTTTAGAGAGAGAGAGAGAGAGAGAGAGAAAGAGAGAGTGGGGGGGGTGGGTAGGGGCAGAGGGAGAGGAGAGAGAATTCCAAGCAGGCTCTGCACTGAGCACAGAGCCCAATGGTCTCTGTGCCACAACCCATGAGATCTTGACCTGAGCCTAGACCAAGAGGATGCTCAACCAACTGAGCCATCTAGGCAGCCCTATTTTTAACTTTTTGAGGAACGTCCAAATTGTTCTCCAGAATGGCTGCACCAGCTTGCATTCCTACCAGTAGTGCAAGAGTGTTCCTCTTTCTCTGCATCCTCGCCAACATCCGTTGTTTCCTATGTTGTTAATTTTAGCCGTTCTGACAGGTGTGAGGTGGTATCTCATTGTGGTTTTGATGTGTATTTCCCTGATGGTGAGTGATGTTGAACATCTTTTCATGTGTCTGTTAGCCATCTGTATGTGTCTTTAGAAAAGTGTCTATTCATGTCTAATGCCCATTTCTTTTCTTTTTATTTTATTTTTTTATGCCCATTTCTTAACTCAGTTGTTTTTTGGGTGTTAAGTTTGATAAGTTCTTTATAGATTTTGGATACTGACCCTTTATCAGATATGTCATTTGCAAATATCTTCTCCCATTCCATAGGCTGCCTTTTAGTTTTGTTGATTGTTTCCTTCACTGTGCAGAAGCTTTTTATATTGATTAAGTCCCAGTAGTTCATTTTTGCTTTTGTTTCCCTTGCCTCCAACAATGTGTCTAATAAGTTGCTACAGCTGAGGTCAGAGAAGTTGCTGCTTATGTTCTCTAGGATTTTGATGGTTTTCTATCTCACATTTAGGTCTTTCATCCATTTTGAATTTATTTTTGTGTATCGTGTAAGAAAGTGGTCCAGTTTCATTCTTCTGCATGTTGCTGTCCAGTTTTCCCAACACCATTTGTTGAAGAGATTGTTTTTTCCCCCCATCGGATATTCTTTATTCCTTCTTGCTTTGTCGAAGATTAATTGACCATGTAGTTATGGGTCCATTTCTGGGTTTTTTTTCTGTTCCTTTGATCAATGTGTCTATTTTTGTGCCAGTGCCATACTGTCTTGATGACTACAGCTTTGTAATGTAGCTTGAAGTCCAGAATTGTGATGTCTCCAGTTTTGTTTTTCTTTTCCAAGATTGCTTTGGCTATTCAGGGTCTTTTGTGGTTCCATACAAATTTTAGGATTGTTTGGTCTAGCTCTGTGAAAAATGCTGGTGGTGTTTTGATAGGGATTGTATTGAATGTGTAGATTGCTTTGGGTAGTATAGACATTTTAACAGTGTTTTTTCTTCTAATCCATGAGCTTGGAATATTTTTCCATTTCTTTGTGCCCTTTTCAATTTCTTTCATAAGTATTCTATAGTTTTCAGAGTATAAATCTTTTACCTCTTTTGTTAGGTTTATTCCTAGGTATCTTACCGTTTTTGGTACAGTTGCAAATGGGATCGATTCCTTGATTTCTTTTTCTGCTGCTTCATTTTTGGTGTATAGAAATGCAACAGATTTCTGCACATTGATTTTATATCCTGCAACTTTGCTGAATTCATGTATTCTAGCAATTTTTTTGGTGGAGTCTTTCAGGTTTTCTACATAGAGTATCATGTTGTCTGCAAATAGTGAAAGTTTGACCTCTTCCTTGCCAATTTGGATGCTTTTTATTTCTTTTTGTTGTATGATTGTTGAGGCTAAGACTTCCAATACTCTGTTAAATGGTAGTGGTGAGCATGGACATCCTTGTCTTGTTCCTGACCATAGGGGAAAGGCTCTCAGTTTTTCCCCATTGAGGGTGATATTAGCTGCGGGTCTTTTCATATATGGCCTTTATGATGTTAAGGTATGTTTCCTCTATCCCTACTTTGTTGAAGGTTTTTATCAAAAATGGATGCTGCATTTTGTCAAATACTTTTTCTGCATCTATTGAGAGGATCATACAGTTCTTATCCTTTTTTTTATTAATGTGGTGTATCACATGGATTGATTTACGAATATTGAACCATCTTTGCAGTCCAGGAATAGATCTCACTTGATCATGGTGAATGATTCCTTTAATGTGCTGTTGGATTCAGTTTGCTAGTATTTTGTTGAGAATTTTTGCATACATGTTCATCAGAGATACTGGCCTGTAATTCTCCTTTTTAGTGGGGTCTTTGTCTGGTTTTGGAATCAAGGTAGTGCTGGCTTCGTAGAATGAGTTTGGAAGTTTTTCTTCCATTTCTATTTTTGGAACAGTTTGAAGAGACTAGGTATTAACTCTTCTTTAAATGTCTGGTAGAATTCCCCTGGGAACGATCTGGCCCTGGACTTTTATTTGTGGGGAGATTTTTGATTATTGATTTAATTTCTTTGCTGGTTATGGGTCTGTTCAAATTTCTATTTCTTCCTGTTTCAGTTTTGGTAGTTTGTAGGTTTCTAGGAATTTATTCGTTTGCTTCCTGGTTGCCCAATTTGTTGGCATATAATTTTTCATACTATTCTCTTATAATCATATTTCTGTGATACTGGTTGTGATCTCTCCTCTTTCATTCATGATTTTATCTTTTTGGGTTAACACTCTTATATCCATTGACTCATAAAATTCCTTATTGATATCATACACAAAAATTAAAACAAAATATCAAACTCGCACATTTTAAGGTGTTTTTTTTTTCTCTTATGGGGAGGAATCTAGATTTGAGTTAAAATATCAAAATCAGGAGTTTTTAATAATTAAAATGTGAGTTTTTACAAGAAAGGCAAAGTCTAGACAAAGGATCATTGTGATTAATAAGTTTTATTTTTTAATTTTAATTTTTTTTTTGTGAATAGTTAAGTTTTAACAGAAAATGTCTAGCACTGCTGCTTAGTTGCAAATTGCCTGGTTGGAATTGAGAATTCACCAGTTGGTCTATAGAGAGATACCTTGCACTGATCTGCCTGTAAGGATCCCATTCCTATACAAATATCAGATGTATGCATTGATACAGGCCAAAAGAGTGAGCAAGAACGTATAAATGAGTCAGGTTAAAAGCTTCTCAGACAGCCTCTTAAACCCTATTTCAAAACCGTGTCATCTAGCAACCCCTTAGCAGTGCCCTGCTGGCATTGTGCATATAGAAATATAGACTCCAGGACTAACGCAAGATCTTCCTCACTGGGCACTGACTCTGGTAGAGGCCTGAAAATAAGCCCAAGGTAGTATTTTTTTTCTATGTATTCTGTGCCTTTTGTTCATCTTAAGGAGGATTTTAAAAAGAGTGGCTTTTATCCATCCTCTTTCTCAGGTATGCAATATGGTAAAATATTCATAAGTAATAAATGTATTTCATGTGTTTGAGGTGATTTTTGGTATTCGCATGATTTGTTTTCACTTATCTTCGCAATATGTGTTATTTATCTTAGCGATTATCTGTCTGATCTCATAGTAACCTTGTTTTTCGTTGCAGGAAAATCTGTTGTGCTACGTTTCATTGACATGTTGTAAATTAATTACTGATTCAACAAAAATGTTGACCTCTCTACATTTTAAGATATTCATATCAAACTCTTATCTTATGTCTTTAGCTGTCCAGACTACCCTCAAGTTTACATACAGTGAAAAATACCCAGATGAAGCTCCTCTTTATGAAATATTCTCCCAGGAAAATCTAGAAGATAATGATGTCTCAGACATTTTAAAACTATTAGCATTACAGGTAAGGAAATAAGTTTCGTAATGGCATTTTTTATTGGCCTTAAATAGTATACATTAATTTCAAGAGTAAGAAAATGCTAGTAAATATGTATAACCAGTACATTGAACAAGGAGAATTCATGATGTATCTCTCTCTCTCTATATATATATATGTATATGTATAGATATATTCACAGAACATCTTAATTTTTGTTTCCCATTGTACATTTAAAATTTGAGTAAGAGAAGTTGTCCCTTCTCTTGAAACTCAGTCAGCCTCATGACTTTTAGTTAATAAAATGTCTGGTAAGTACTTTAATTTTAAACACACTTTTGATCTGGTTCTCAGAAGGTCCAGCCCCATGTGCAGTTAAAAATTCTGACTTTTAAAAAAATTAAAACTCCCAACCCCTCTGACCTGTTGCAGGCTAGTTGCCTGCAATCTGGGAAGAGGACTGGTGATTGTTTTGTTTTTCTTATCTTTCTGTGTCTTGAGGCTTATGAGCAGCAATCAGGGTTTATGATCCCTCTGAGAGCGGGGGTTGTGAAGGCAAAATGGGTATTGGAAAATTCTTGGCTAGTTCTGTGGTAGGATAGGCTCCCCATAGTTTGGGCTTAGCCAGAATTTAAAACTCTGTCTTGCTTGGGTTGAGAGTTTTCATGGATTCTTCAGAATAGGGAGTACGGGGGACAAGTAAAATTTTTACTCCGCAGTGTTATAAACAGAAGTCCTAGCTTTGTTTGTTTGTTCTAAGAAGAATTGACAGAAAACATATCTACACCTTAAATGTGACTGGTATATTTCAAGGACTATTGGTCCTCTGAATGCCGATATTTTAAAAATATCTGGAGCTATTAGAGAATGAAGAGTGAAAGAAGATAGATCAAGCATGAATTTATGCTTATCTTGGGCCCTGTTCATTCTGCTACCCCATATGAGATTATACTAATTCTAATATTTGACTTAAAATGCTTCATTTTAAAACACTACAGAAAACCTGGGGCAGTATGCTATATTGAGTCATTTATTAATGTAAGTTATTTGAGCTGAGTGATTACTTTCTATGTGTTTTATATTTTATTTGCCCTCAAGCTCCTTCCTTGCAGAAAAGAAATTTTGATTTCTTTCTCATACTTACCTGAGATCAGATATATTGAGGGGATATTTGTACTTTTTTTTCCAAATTATATTGATTTTCAATATCAAAATAGTAAATTCATATTATAAAAAACTCAGAAAATATAGGAACTCATGAAAGAGAAAATTAAAATTACTCTTAATCTCACCAGCCAGGTATAACTGCCTATTAACATTTTGGTATGATATAATTCCAGACTTTTTTTTCTTATGCTTATATTCATAGTACTCCTCTTCTACCCCAAGTTAGATCATTCTGTATATAATGTTTTATAACATCCTTTTTTTTCACATAACAATATATGTGGGTATCTTTCCATTTTAGTAAACATGTATGAGTCATCATTTTTGATAACTGCGTAGAATTTCACTGTATATATGTGTAATTACACCTATCCTTTTTGAAACAATTATTTATCATTTTAACCTGATTTAATATGTAATTCTTTGGACATGCTTCTTTTTTTTTTTTTAGAGGGGGAGGGGCAGGGGCAGAAGGAGAGAGAGAGAGTCCCAAGCAGGCCCCACACCCAGTGTGGAGCCCAATGTGGGGCCTGATCCCACAACCCTGAGATCACGTCTGAGCCAAAATCAAGAGTCAGATATCCAACCAACTGAGCCACCCAGGTGTCCCTTTGGACATTCTTATATATCACTATTTGTAAATCCTTAGAGCAGAGTCTCCATTGAATCCCTAGTGCCTGGCATATAGTAGACGCTCAGATATTTTTTGAATAAATGAGGAAAGTATATTATTGATGAGTATACTAGTCCAGTGTTTTCTATAAGTAAGATTACTGGATTAAAGGTTATACATACTTAATTTCATACGCATTGCCAAATGGACCTTCAAAATGATTGTGCCAAGTTATGATCTCACTGTAGCCATTGAGGTGTCTGCCCACATATGCTAACATTAGATTTTTTCATTTAGAAAGAAAAGCAATAATAACAAGATGAAAATAGTATATAATCATAATTTGAAATTCTTTAATTAGTAGTGATGTGGAAATCTGTGTGACTTCTCGTTGTCATTTCATATAAATGGTTCTTTTTTTTGCTTTTCTATTGGAATACTTAAGTTGTTAAAAAAGAGATCCTACTGGGATTTGTTTTTGAAATGTGTCAAGCATTAAGTTAAGTGACCAAGACAGACACCATCCCTTCTTTCATAGATTTTATATTCTGGTGAGGAATGTGGACTAACAAATTGGAAATTGTTATTCTGTGTAGAAAAATGCTGTGAGTGGATGTAGACTTGAGGCACTGGAGAAGCTTTCAAGAGAAAGAGTTTGCCAGGCAGTAAAGAGAAGAGAGGGCAGAGGAGCAAGCTTGTTAAGGGTCATGGAGATGAGAGGGAGAGAAGAGATCAATATTTCCTTCCAGAACTTCTAGTCATACTAAATTTCTTGAGTTTAGAATTTGAGGTTAGTGATCTTATGTGATGGAACTAAAGAGATTAATTCCCAAAGGGTCTTCTGAACGGTTTTAAAAATATGTTCTTGCTCCTGGTTGGTTTGGAAAGCTGTTGAGTTTTAAGCAAGAGACTGACTAGATCGGTTATGTGTATGTATTGAGTGGCTTGAGAAGTTGATGTCAGGGGTGACAAGACCACAGGTTTTAAGAAAACCAGTTAGGAGTTTCTTGTAATATTTGAAGTTGAAGATGATGGTGCCCTGGGTTAGGGTAATACCAATGTTGATAGAGAACAGTAGGCAGATTGAAATGATATTTAAGAATAGATTAGAGGCAGCGATAGAGCTTATGATGGGATGTGAGTGTTCATGCTGGGTGGTTGGTGGTTTGGTTCTCTGAGTTGGGAAACATAGAAATAGGTTTTGTGGAGAAGATGATGATTTTAGTGTTCACGTGCCTGTGCGACATCATATTGCTGTCCCCTGGGCGGTTTTAATATGGGTTTGGCATTCAAGAGAGATGTTTGTGTAGTCAGATGTAGGATGGTTAGCATGGAGACACCACAGAGAAGCCCCCAGAAGAGAATCACAGGAGCTTGAAGCCTTGTATTCAGAGAGGGCCCACGGGATGAAATACCTACTCAAATGCCGCTGAGACCAGCCCTGTCAAAGGAGTGGTTGGAAATCTCTTCTGCTTCTAGGATGGAGATTCTGTCTGGCTTGTATATTTGGGATTTTTTTTTTTTTTTTTTTTTTTTTGGTGTTTGGTCTGTTTCCTTCAAACTGTATCTTGTGTCTGTGGATAAGCAAGATACCTTGTTTTACTTGAATCTGCTTTCAAATGACCAACTTCCAAATAGCTTTTGAATCACAGTTGACCCTTAAACAACACAGAGGCTAAGGGATGCTGACCTTCCTTCCACACAGTCGAAAATCTGTGTGTAACTTTTGACTCCCCCCAGAACTACTACTAACTGGCAGGAAGCTTTACCCATAACGTAAACAGTTGATTAACGCATATTTTGTATGGTATATGTACTATATACTGTATTCTTAAAGTAAGCAGAGAAAATGTTATTAGTAAAGTCATAAAAGAAAATACATTTATAGTACTATACTGTATCTATTGGAAAAAAAATGGATGTAAGTGGACCTGTGCAGTTCAAACCTATATTGTTCAAGGGTCAACTGTATATCCCTTTCATGAGTTGGAGAACTTTCATATTTGATTTTAAGCCATTTCAAATTGAAGGAAAAAAGGTAGGTAAAGATAAATCACCAAAAGTGCCTATATTCTTTATTATTGTATATTAGAAAATCACTTTGGCCTCAAAGTTCAGTTCATTGTCACAGCTCTTTAAAATATCCCAAAAGATCTAAATCATGAAAATATGGTGAAGAACTCATGTTACTAGTTGCTCTTCGGAAAAGGTTTTCTGGGGACGCCTGGGTGGCTCAGTCGGTTGGGCGTCTGCCTTCAGTTCACGTCATGATCCCAGGGTTCTGGGATCGAGTCCCACATCGGGCTCCTTGCTCGGCAGGGAGCCTGCTTCTCCCTCTGCCTGCCACTCCCCCTGCTTGTACTCTACTCTCTCTCTCTCTAGCAAATAAATAAAATCTTAAAAAAAAAAAGGGAAAGGTTTTCTGAATTCTAGTTCTTAAACAGAAATTAGTAAAAAGATATCTGTTTCAGGTTGGATGTAGCAAATTACATGTCTTTAAATTTAATATATAGTTACTCATATATATGTATGTATGTGCTCAGTTCTTTTTTTTTTTTTTTTTAAGACAGAGAGACAGCTAGAGAGGGAACACGATCAGGGGGAGTGGGAGAGGGAGAAGCAGGCTCCCGGCCGAGCAGGGAGCCCTATGTGGGGCTTGATCCCAGGACCGTGGGATCATGACCTGAGCTGAAGGCAGACGCTTAACGACTGAGCCACCCAGGTGCCCCTGTGCTCAATTCTTAAATGATCATTTATCCAGGTGTCTGAACTTATGGTGTAACTGAATTAGTCATCATATTATAAATGTATGGAATTTAGTGATTATGATGAAACACTTTTTCATTGGTTAGTTTTTTTGTTTGTTTTTCTGAGAAGTATGTTTCTCACTACAGCCTTTCTTTTGGTTACATAGGCAGAAGAAAACCTTGGTATGGTGATGATCTTTACTTTAGTGACAGCTGTGCAAGAAAAACTAAATGAAATAGTAGATCAAATAAAAACTAGAAGAGAAGAAGAAAAGAAACAAAAAGAAAAAGAGGCAGAGGAAGCTGAAAAGGTATATTATAAAGCTGGGTTTTCTTTCATTATTGTTTCCTTTTTTTTTTTTGGTTGGTGGGTTTTTTTGTTTTTAGAAATTTCAGTAATTTTTTTGGCAATCGCAAAATAAACAAAAGTAAATTTTACTTAAATTTTGCTACATAAGATTTTAGAAGTCACTGCATTGGTCACATAGCATGGGTAATGATTAATAAAGGTTAGTAGAGCTCATGCAGGTAAGATCAAGAAATATACATTATTTCTTTATAAATTACAATTTTATTATAAATTATAAGCCTCCTTTATCTAACCACATCTTTTTTATTTTCTAAGCAATTATTTCATGGCACTCCTGTTACAATTGAGAATTTCTTAAGTTGGAAGGCCAAGTTTGATGCAGAACTCTTGGAAATTAAAAAGAAACGAATGAAAGAAGAAGAACAAGCAGGAAAAAATAAATTAAGTGGTATGACTCCCCTCTCCCCTGCCCAGGCTGTTCTATATTCTTGCACAACAAGAGGATCATTTGGACAGATTTCTATAAAAACATAACATACTTGGGCATCTAGGACAAAAAGAGAAAGCATTCTGTCTACATGATGACATTTCTTCATTCATAATTATGATTAATTTTTATGGCTTATCTCTGATCTAAATATCTCAATGGATAGATCTTGAGATACAGCTCTACCACGACATTCAGAATCAGAAGCGTTAGAGTGGTAGAGTCAGATGTATTTGTTTTTCTGGGGCTCTGAAGCAGACTTGGGTTTTCACTTGTTCCATTTTAATGCAGATACATATCACATGCCTCTTAGCTACTTACTGAATTGATAAATTTATTGAAATTCATAGAAAAATAGGTTTTTGACTTGTTTTCTTGGATTATTTTATTTTTTTAAAGGATTGTAGGGAAGATGGAGGAAAACTGGAAAGGTGGGAAACTGGAACATATAGGAAAAATATGAATTAAACATACTTGTTTCTTTTAGGGAAACAGCTCTTTGAAACAGATCATAATCTTGACACATCTGATATCCAGTTTTTGGAAGATGGTAAGATAATACTAAGATTCCACGTGTACATAATACACTGTTTTTAATATTATACCATGAAAATCACAGTGATAACTTAATGTAAAATTGTCCTCCCAAGGCTATAAACAAGTACATTTTGAAGAATAAATTTTAATGCTTGACTTATTTATACACTAAACTATAGCAATGTATCTTTTAAAGTTTTTTGGTAACAAGCAACATCAAAGATGGCAGTAAACAACTATGGTCACATTAGTCTTTAATAACTAGTAAACCAGGCCACCGTAAGTGAGGTGGCCTGGTTTACCCAAATTTCTAGTATCAGAAATCTGTAGAAATTATTTCATGGTCATGGAACTTTATAAAGACCTCATATCTGGAACTCTTCATGCCCTCTAACCAAAAATCTTATGTTTCATACTAGTCTTACTATCTGGAACACCTACTTCCTTATGCTTTCCTTCTCTTTATCCTAAACTTTATCCTCTTTCAGTCTTCTGTCCATTATTCATCCATGCATAGATATTTATTGCACCCCTAGTGTAAGCCAAGCGTTGCCCTGGTTGCCGACGATATAGCAGCAGAGAACAGTATAGACAAATTCCCTGCCCTCATGGAGCTTATGGCCTATGTGTGTTTCTTAAACTGGGTTCAGTCACACTTCGGATCGCACCCTAGAGTTCTGCAGTTCATTGGCCTTCATGCTCATCTTGCCAGTTGGGGATCCTATAGCATTCTGGCCTTTCAGTTTTGTTCCTGGACTGTCTTCTGGAAAAGGTTAAGAAGCAATGTTGGTGTGGCCTCACTGCCAAGTCATGCTTCTTAACTTGATCTGGGCCCTTATGGACACTCACCACTCTGTTTTATATATCTTACTGCATTCTTGCTCCAGGACATTAAAAGTCTTCAAACAAACAGAAACACCCCAAACAAACAAGCAAGCAGACAGACAGACAAACCCAGCAAGGTTGTCCTCATCTGTCTCTCTCTCACTTTACTAGCTTGTTTTTCTCCTATTTTATTGAGAAATTCTGGAACCAAAAAGCTGTGTCTCATTCTCTCTTGCACTTGAGAAGTTTTACTGTCTTCACTCATCCTTGACTCCTTACCCTAACAGATCAAGTATCTCTTCATATCCAGGAACTAACCAAAAGCTCTCCGTTGATTCTGCTTCAGAAGTGTCTTTTCCAGACATTTTCAACTCTTTCCTCCTAACTTTAGGGTTTTATCATCCCCCCCCTCCCCAGGTGTTTGTGGTTGCTTCTTACATTGTCTCCCTGCTTCAGTCTCTTCCTCTTTTTGGTGTCTTTAGTCACCGCCCCTGAGGTGGCATTCCTAAAACTCATGTTTAATCATGATACTTCTCTCCTTAAAATCTTTTGATGGTTCTCTGTTGCTTAGAGAAAAAGGTTGACCTAGACAATCCTTCAATTTGGCCTTCATCTATGATATCTCCAGATATTTTTCCTAAAGAATCTTGTGTTCAAGTTAGAAGTATTCAAAGTCTTATTTTTTCTTTCTCCCTTTGCATATACCTCTACCTATAATTGCTTCATCCTGCCCCCTTTTCTTCTTGCTGGATTAAAATTTATTGCAGAGATATTTTAGATGTCATCTGTTTTGGGAACTTGCCTGTCTCTCCCAGAGACAGTGAGTTGTTCTTTGGCCTGGACTTAGCAAAGGTGTATTTTATTACTGAACTGCTCATAGGCGTGAAGCAAGACTCATTCTCATTGAATTGAATGTCAGTGGGCTGGAGTCTGCCAGGAAAGGAAGATGAACAATTTTTGGTCATCTAAGAGTACTGTACTCTCCCACCTTTATGCACTTCAGACAAACTGAAGAGTAAAGATGTTTGATGCAAGGCCAAGGGATTGCTTCCTATAGGGCTCAGATATTTGGAATTTGAGAAAGGCATACCATTGGTTATAAGGGGAACTAAGTGAGAGTGAAGATCAAGTTCTATCTATCAATTAAATAACAAGTGTAGTTGAGCTTGAATGATGTACCTATCTGCCAATGCTGGAAGACTCCTGGTATGGGCCCCATGGTCGGTGATAATCAACTTTGTTTAACCAGGATATACCGTCATCTTAACTTAAAACATGCCACATCATAAATAATTCATTCTAGGAAAGCTTTTTTTAATAACTGGATTTTTTTTTTTTTTTAAGCTGGAAGCATGAAGTTGCTCTTAAAATGTGTGTCTCTGCTGACCGCTGCAGATCGTTGTTGCTGTGATTTGCAGTAGTAGTTTAGGATTTCATCACTGGCACCTCCCTTGCACATCTGGAAGTTTGTGTTTGGTGCTGCCAGTGAGTTGTGTCTTTTACTCCTGAATATGAGACTGAAGGTGAAATCTTCTGTCTTTTGCAGCTGGAAACAGTGTGGAGGTAGATGAATCTCTGTTCCAGGAAATGGATGACGTGGAGCTAGACGACGATGAGGACGGCCCTGACTGTAACCCTGCTGACCCGGACAGTGATCTGACCGACTAATGGGCCTTCCCCGTCTGCACAGAGGGGCGACTGCCACAGCATCTGTGGCTGTGCTGGTGTGTGGATTTTTCTTTCTTTTTTTCTAAGAAAAAATAATTTCCAGGAGAATATTCTTCTGATAGCTCTCATCATTGAACTTAATAAACTGACCTTAAAGTTTCAAATATAAAATGTCCAGTTCCTCTGATTGGTAGGAATAAGGTCATATATTTAAAATCATTTAGTGTTAGAGAGAGACCGAGCCTGTAACACTAAGACTTGAAGATAGAATGCAGCTGTGCACAGGTGTGTGTTCATATACAAGGAATTGTAATAACCTGGAATTCCTGTGCTGGAGACAGTGGTGGCTTTATGCTTCTGAGTGCCGTCATTAATATAAAATATCAGAAGACAGAGGTGAAGAGAACATTAAACCTTCTGGATTCTAGCCTTGGGGCATGATAAGTTTACGTCTTTACAAAACCAGAAACAAATTATATTCAGGATTAAAGTGGACTTTAGTCTTAGAGGAGTATTTGAATCAGCATCCTCTGTGGCATTATCAAAAGGTGTGTACTCCTAGGCTTTTCTCAGTTTAGGTTATTAAACACTGACTTTAATCTGAATTTTAAAACAGTGAAATCTCATGCCAGTTGACACTGGTTATTCCATTGCATACTCCTTATCCTGTAGTTGTGAAATATATGTATATTTGTGATCCCTTACTTTTCTAATTTAGCCAGTCTGAAAAGATCTGAATTCTTGAGGTTGTACACTATCTGCAAGAGAACACATATCCACATTAATGCACATATGAGACCTTTTTTGTAATAATTTTGAATGATTGACTTGGGGACTTCAGGTAGGAGAGCCAGGCTTCATGCAAGTTATCCAGTCACTGCAGTTGGAGAATTGAATCTTAATCCTAATAGGAAATCACTTGTGCTATTGCAAATCACTGCCTCCTTTCAAAAGTACATATACTACATATCCACAAGCACAAGCAGATCAATTCCATGTTTATTTTTGGAGTTAGACCTGTGGCTAAAATCAAACTATTTAAGATGAAACTATCATTGAGGAATGTAATACTTTTTCACTAGCTTTGGTTCTGACCAATAAAAGGGAACACCAGGAGTGTTCAGCAGATCTCTGCAGGGACAAGTCTGAAAGTTTCTTTCATGTGAAAATTAACTTTTTCTAAGGAGAGATCCTTTCTGAAGCTGATCAGCAGCTGCGTTGAGAACTCAAGAGCACTTTAATTAAGGGAGAGACACGCAATGATGGACAATGCAGTGGTGAGGTCAATAAAGATTGGACCTTAAAGTGTCAAGACTGATTCCACCTCCTCCTCACACATGATTTTTTTTTTGAAAGTATAGGTTTTTTACATTTTCTGTAGGTATTGAAGTAGATTCTGCCTTTGTCATTTTGGAATGTAGGCAGAACCTGATGTATGGAAGTGAAGGCAAAGAGTTAGTTCTAATGATACTCCTAAGTATTTTCATCTGGAGTAAATAATAATATTTCTTTTGTTTTCTGAGAGCTAACCAAAGACTCTGCTTCTCAAACTGGAGCACACATAATCCCAGGATGTGCAAAAGCATGACTGGTGGTATTTGAAGCAATAATTAGCCATCTCAGATTATCAGTTTTGCACTTGGATTTGGGATAATTTTTGCTTTTGTTTCTCTACTTACGCTAAATTGCATAAAATATAAGATTAAAAACAAATACAAGTATGTGTATTCTTTGCTGTATCCCTGTGACAATGTCTGGCACTGAATAGGCATTTAATATTTGCTGAATGAGTGAATTATGGAATAGAATGAAAAATTGTCATGCATTTTAAAGGTTAAACATAACAGTTAAATGTTCTGTTTGCCATCTGCAGCTTGGCATAATGCTTCTGGATTCTGCATTACTTCGTACTCTTCTGCCAGCAGGGGTGCCTTAGGAAAAAGATGGATAAATACTGATCTAAGGCAAACACATCTAAAAGGTTACATGAACATTTCCTAGTTGAGGTAAGACCAGGAAGAGTGATGAATAACATCTCTTATGGATGCACAGGATGAGTTCATTGATTATACTGTCACAAACTCCAAAGATGTATGTGCCAAAAAGCAAAGAGATGCATTCTTGGATTCTAGGAGAAAGGAGACTGTGGGTTTTCAATATTTATGTGCTAGCCCATTGTTTGTGTTACAACACAAAGTAGTAAACTACCTCAAGTAGCTCAGTGTTTGTCTTTCAGAGAACATACCTATCAGGCAGCAAAGGTAGACATTGTATGATATATTAAAATGGGTTGACACTTCCAGAACTGTAGAGAGTAATTTTAGAGAGACCATTGAGATCTAACGTGATAGGGAAAGGTTTTCACAAATGATACATGGAGTATGAGTCCATATAAATATATAAATGGGAACAACATTAGGTTCTTTGCTGCTTTAGGACCTATGTCAGAGTAAGAGATGCAGAATGCTGATATATTATGAAGTTGATAGCCTTCTGTTTCATTTCACTTTTGTTAGGCAAAGGACTTGGAAAGAAAATGGGTAAGGTAGGTTGGGAATACACAATTTAGTGCACCTTCCATTAATAAAAATGGAAAAATGCTGGAAAAGGTTCAAGAATATTTAAGGGATATCAAAACAAAATTTTAAATACTGCTGTGAGCCATTTTGGCACCTGAGGTAAAAGGAAAAATCGGTAATTACTTAAAATTTGGATATTTTATTTATTTTGGATTTTACATTAATCTTTATTTTTTTTTAAATACTGCGTTAAATATTACTTATCTTAATAACTGAGTTTTTGGTGCCTCCTTAAATTTTGCAACCAATATCAGTGCTTCACTCACCTTACCAAAGTCCTTGATAATTGCATAAGGCTTTCAGGGTTCTCTGGTCTCCATCCTAAGAATACCAAGAAAGGCCTGGAGGCGGAACCATGTGGAGGGGGCCTCTTTTATGTAAACGAAGATGCTCAGAAGACAAAGAGAATGAACCATACCAGCTTCAAGAAGATACTTAAGCTAAAGCAGTTAAGGGCCTGGAAATTACTAAACTATGTGTTACTGCTACATGCCTCAGACATCAAAAAATAGGTTATAGCTGGGCACCTGGGTGGCTCAGTCGGTTAAGCATCAGCCTTTGGCTCAGGTCATCATCCCAGGGTCCTGGGATCAAGCCCCACATCAGGCTCCCTGCTCAGCGGAGAGTCTGCTTCTCCCTCTGCCCCTCCCCACTGCTTGTGCTCGCTCTCTCTCAAATAATAAAATCTTAAAAAAAATAGGGTATAGCTTTGACCATACCAATCCAAACATACTTAGATGTGATACAATCTTTAGTAAAGTGAATTATACACCAAATTTGGTGGTATCTTTAATAGATTGATTCTTGTGGAACTCACTCTGTCTAGAAATATGGATCTAGAACATTTTCCACCTAGACTTTTGGGATGATATTTTTAAAATAACTTCTTGATATTTGGATGTATCTTCTGACATTTAAGTTTTGTTTTAAAGGTCAGACTGATTCATCTCTATTGCTTGAAATGGCCCTTAGCCATTAGGATCTGTTACCAAGAGTGTTTGTTTTAAAATGTAAATATTGATGCTAAGGTCTTTGAAAAATGACATTAAAAGGAGAGTCTTAGTGGGCGCCTGGGTGGCTCAGATGGTTGGGCATCTGCTTTCAGCCCAGGTCATGATCCCAGGGTCCTGGGATCGAGTCCCGCATCGGGCTCCCTGCTCCTTGGGAGCCTGCTTCTCCCTCTGCCTCTCTCTCTCAATCTGTCTCTCATGAATAAATAAATAAAATCTTAAAAAAAAAAGTCTTAGGCACATTCTCTAAGGTTTGCATTTAGTGTCCTTTTTTATTTATTTATTTTTGCTATTATCAACTAATTTTATTGGATTCTGTCTGAGATAGGAAGTGTTTTTGTGTCCACGTATTTTCTGAAGTGTGGTTGAAATGTCTCTCTTCCTCACATAGGTGCTCAATTGATAAAGAAATACATTGAGCCAGCCCTAGAGAGCTTGAACACAAAAGGAAAAAGTGAAGATTTAATGTTTAATACTTAATATTTTAGTTCACCACTGAAAGTTAATCCCTTGCATAGTATGAAAATATATAAGATGGCTCTGGTGGAAAGAGTGAGAATTAAAGTAATAGGCTCTTCTAATAACTGAGAGTTTACACATTGTTAACATAATCTCTGATCCTTAATTTCCTCATCTGTAAAATGGGGATTAAATAATTTCTAAACATGAAAAATTTACTTAAAAATGACAATTAATGAACATGTTCAAATTGGTGAGTTAACACTGCAGTTGTTCTCCCCACATTTTCCACTCCACCTCGTCCCCCTGCCTCACACAATGAAATTGTAGGGAAGAAGTGTGGTGCCATAGGCTGAATGTTTGTGTCCCCCAGAAATTCATATGTTGAAATCTTCAGCCCCATGGTGATGATGCTGGGGGCTGAGCTGTGGGACGTGATGATTGGGACCAGTGCCCTTGTCCGAGCTGCCTTGAGCTCCCTTGTCACTTGTGCTGTGTGAGGTCACAGTGAGAAGGCCAGGAAGGAAGGGGATTCTCTCTGGACACGAAATCCTGGTAGCATTATCTTGGACTTCCCGGCCTCTGAACTGTGAGAAGTGTCTGTTGTTCATAAGCCACACGGTCTGTGCTGTCTTGTGATAGCAGCCTGAATGGCTGAGACCAATACTCCTCCATCTTCCTTTTGCCATTATTTCATCAAAGAAGCGAATCCGGGAACAAATCAAACATGTAGCAGTTCAGGTGGCATGTCCTTCATCTGTGGTTGCACACTGATGCCCTGCCTTCCAACTCTGGCAGCAAAACTGCCTCCAGTTAAAGCAACTGGAAGGGCAGCTCAGCTCCTTAGCTCCCTGTTTGATCACTTGTGGGTTTTATTGCTCTTCCATTGCAGTCCAACTTCTCCCTCTGCCCTGAGTACCTGCCATCATGCCCTCAGAGGTGGTGTTCCTGAGGGCCCTTCCCAGTCCCCATGCAAATCTCAGTCTGTGTTCTCAGAAGAACCCAAAGGAAAACATCCTATGAAATGATTTCAACTAAAGCAGCCTGGTGACCCGATGGCAGAACAGCACTGGAGCGGAGCCCGCCAAGGACAGAGTTTGGTGGGGTGTGTGTTGAGCCAGGGC